GCCTCCCCGCGCGGCCTCGCGGAGCAGCGGCGCCCGGCCCGCGCCGTCCCAGCACGGAGGCGCCGGCGCCCCAGCCCGGCGGGGAGGAGGAGGAGGGCGGCGGCGGCGGCGGCGGCGGCGGCGGCGGCGGCGGCGGAAAATGAAGCTCCTGAAGCCGGCCTGGGTCAACCACAATGGTGAGCGGCGCTCCGGCGACGGGCCCGCCGGGAGCGGCAGCGCGCGCGCGCCCCGAGCATGTGCAGAGACCCGCGCCGGGCTGCCCGGCGGGGCTGGGCGGGCGAGCTGCAGCGTGCATGTGCAGAGTGCTGGCTTGCGCGGGCGGAGGGCTGTCTGCCTCCTGCTCTCGGGCCTCGAGGCGGGTTCCGGGGGTGTCTGCGAGCGTGTGCGCTTCCCGCGAGCGGGGGAGGCTGGCTTGGCGCGTGCACGTTGCGCCTGCATCCCTTTCGGTTTGGGAACTTTTGCAAGCGCTCGGGCCTCTCTGGGTTGCAAGGCTGTCCCTGACTACGTGCAGAGGCTTCTCCTGGGCGCCCCAGTAGCGCGAGGGAGGCTACTCTCGGTGCAGAGGGTGCCTGTACTGTTTTGTGCTGTCTGGCCTTGGAGGCACTCGGGGTGACTGCTCAGTTTCATTTTCCCCTGGGTGCAGGTAGACCAGCCTTCCTCAGCTTGGCGTCCTCCAGATGTGTGAGACTAGGCATGTCGTGAGCGGAGCCGGCTGGAGCCGGGGGTCAGACTAGATGGCCCGGGAGGCCCCTTCTGACTCACTCTGTTTCTGTTCCAAGGACTACAGCTCTCAGCAACTGGAGGTTGCAGTCCCAGGAGTGCTGTTTTGGGGAAGATTGAGGTGGATTCCGCCGCTCCAGGGAAAAACTATTTTGAATGTAAATTGCATGATCCCAGTCTGTTGGACGACCTGAGCGTTTGCTCCTTTCCTCTGTTGGATCATACAGAAATAGTGGGGCCCTCTAGGCATCTGCAGAGTGCCTCTTTGTCATCTGTGGTAACATATCCCTGCATATACACATGCCCCTGTATGAAGCAGGCTTAAGCTTTTCTAGTGTGCCACCCCATAAAGCTGCCCAACACGGAATCAGATTGCGCTGAGCTACCTCTGAGCACATGGAGAAAGCCCCTTTCCTCATTATGCTCACACAGCACTCCCCCTCCCCCCGCATTTCATTGAGGGCACAGTTGGATTCCCGGCCTCTCGGTGCTACCGGCTGCGAGTGGTGCCGCTGTTCAGTGTTGGTGCTTTAATCTTGGGTCCAAAGACTCAAGAAATAGAGGGCCACTGAGCAAGTATCAAGTGCATATTCTCTCTCACTAGTGGGGAACCACAGCACCTTATTCCCCCCCCCCACGTGGCACGCTCACATCGCAGTCCTGAGCATCGGTTGCGCAAGCTTCTCTGCCTTCAAAGTGGGATGTACTCCCAGGTGGGTGCGGCAGAGCACTGGCACCTCGTAGGGCGGAAGAAGGTGGGAGCTTCCAGGACAGAGTGCTGTGTGTTCCCTTTGCTTTTGGAACTCAGGACTGAGGAAGCAGAAGGCCTCTAAACATACGCAGAGCGTCCCATTCCTCATTGCTCATAAAGACGGGTTGCTTAGTCTGCGAAAGCAAACCAGGGTGCGAGGAAATGTGTTTGTTGGGTCATATGGGGCAATTGGGTTGAGCCACAAACTTCTGCGTTGTACCAGACGCTGGCCTTCCGTCCAGTCTAGATATACAACACTGGTACAAGTAAAGGCTTCTCAACAGCGGGCACTTGGGCCAAAGGGCATCTAACTTGGGTTATCATTCATTTCACTTGGAGAATTTACATGGATTAGAATCCTAAAAATGCACAATGCAATACAGAACTCCAGTTAGTCAGTGTTTTCCCATTTGTTCTTGTATTTGAAGAGGCGGGTGAGTAATTCAGTTGCTTATCTGTCCGCTCCACCCATCACGTACTGCAAAAATTCACCTGGATGCTGTATCACTTAACCTGTTTCAGAAATATCAGTTTACCTGGTGGTTTGCAGAGACATGCTAGTGGCTTGGTCTGGAGTTTAGGGTAATTTAAAACTTGGTTAGAATAGGACAGGTATATCAATGTGTATGTCTCAACTTCCCGATAACTTTTACTGACTTAATTTAAAGGGCTCTTGAAAACAGTGGTAGGTTCTGAAACAAATTTATTTAACACTTCCCCCTGCTCAGCGGGGAGCTACTTGGACACTTTTATTTGTTTGAAAAGGATGATTAAGGTGCAAAGTATACTATGGACAAGGAAAAAGACATGTGCTCAGGAATACAAAAGTTGGAATCCCTAGCTTGGACATTTTTACTCAGCTTGTGGTTGATTGTGAAAAACAGGTTTGTAGATTAGATGACCCCTTGGTTTGATCCTGGCTCTTCTTCTATTGTATTTCCCCTGAGGAGTGAAGCCTGTTTAGAGCTTTGTTGCCCTTGGGTTTTCAAAGAATCAGGCAAAGTTACTGATGCCAAAAGTAGCTTGCGAATAATGCTAAGAATACAGACAGAATATAATCATCTTGTATGAATTGTACGCTCTTCTACCCTTTAGAGGTGACAAAGTCTCCATAGTTTCCAAAAAAGCAAACATGTAACAGTTCTGAAGGTGGACTGGTAAATGTAGATGTTTTAGTTGGTGACAGGAAGAAATGATACAGTTTTAACACATTAGTTATGAGCTGTGTTCTTGCTACTGTAGTTTTCCATTTGGAGAGAGAGGCTGCATTTTTAAATACACTAGTATGTATGCATATCAAACCGTTTTTGAAATATCAGGTGGATTGATTTAGTACATTTCTGTTTTGCCTTTCTTCTGTCATAAATCTTAAAGAGGTGCATATAGGATTTTTAGATAGCAGTCCAGCTAGATCAGGGGTCTCAAACTTGCGGCCCGCGGGCCAATTGCCGGGCTGGGCAGGGCACGGAGGAGGGGCCCTGCGGCCTTCAAAGCGCTGGCAGCGCCCAGGCCGGCGGCGGGATGAGCGGCCCCCCACCACCGCGGGGGTGGAATCCTTGATGCGGCCCAGCCTCACCCAGACTCTACTTCCAGCGGCCCCCAGGTCAGTTGAGTTTGAGACCCCTGCTCTAGATGCTGCTCAAATCCCACCTTGCTTGCTGTCAGCCAGGCGTCTATACCATGCACCTTCAAACCCTAAAAGACCTTGCTTTATCAGGGACCTTTGCACGTGCACTCTTCCTCTGGATGCGGCTGCTGTAACCGATTTTACGTTGGGCTGCCCTTGAAAACATTCCAGGTGTTGCGATTGGGTCAAACGGCAATGCCTGATTGGAGCCCATCAGTCAGTTGCTATTGCACCAAATCTGTATCAATTTGTATATGTACTCAATTTGAGTACATATACTAAACGGCTTGGGTCCTGGGTATCTAAAGGAGCGCTTGCGCCCATATATGCCCTCCCGCCCCTTGAGATCAGCAGGAGAGGCCCTTCTCCGGGAACCCTCTGTGAGTGATATTAGGAGGGTGAGACCCGGAGGAGGGCCTTCTCTGTGGTGGCGCCCCACCTATGGAATGCGCTCCCCAGAGAGGTCCACCTGGCACCGTCGTTACTTGTTTTTCGGCACCAGGCTAAGACTTTTTTATTTAAAACTTATTTTAATTGTTAATTTATTGGTTATTTATAGGATTTTAAATCTTTTAAGCCGAGATGCACCGGGTTTTAATATTTTTATTGTATAATTTGTTATATTTGTTCTTGTTGTGAGCTGCCCCGAGGCTTTGTTGCGATGGGGGCAGCATAAAAATGTTTTAAATAAATAAATAAATAAATTTTAACATGCTTGCTTTGAGGCTTCCAAACATCCTGAGACCAGAATGCTTCCTTCCTAAATATGAGCCGTTCAACAATTTTGCTCCTTTTCCCAGGCTTTGTTTTGGGTCTTTCATCATCCATACCACAACAAATGAATACCGGAACTGGAGCTTTTCTGGTGTGGTACCCAAGTTCCGACTGAACCTCTCAAGGCAGGCCTGCCTGGTTCTACCATGGCTCTCTCTTGAATGGGTGGTGGAGATAATTTTATTTTGATAATGTTCCATTAATTTCAATCTTATTTTGGTTTATGGTGCTTAATGTGTTACTCCTTGTAAAGAGTGTTTTGGTATTATTCATGCTTTTGTCCTATTGCTTATTTTGTCCTGCTTGCTAGCCACCTTAAGTATTTGTTAGAACGAGGGTGGTATGAATGAAAGTAGATAAATCAAAGGAAAAGCAAGGCAGCAGAGAGATCCTTCTCCATTTACTCCTATGATGAAAGGAGAGGGGCTTGGTGTCATGGAAACCATGAAAGACATCCACAATTGGCCTCATCTCTGGAATCTCTTGCTCTCAAAAGATTACTGACGAGGAAACCTACATCATTAATTCTGTACATTTGATGGCTTATTTTGTCTGTTTCTCTTTCCACATCTTGACCAGTTTGTTCCACCTTGCACTATTTGACCTTTTTCCTCCTCTGCGTTTCCCTTGCATCAAAAACAATTGTGCATTTGAAATAAGGCATCTTAGCAGTCAAAGGGGTTGTCTGCATTTCTGTTCCTGGCAGGTTAAGCTTGGTTGATACTGCAGGCAGAGGGGAGCAGAATCTCTAATCTACCTGTGGGCAAGATTTTAGGATTTTCCAGAAGGCCACCCTCTTCTCCAAGCACCAATTATGTGGTAGTTTCCTGAGTGTTATGAAGCCCCCCTCCCCATTTTAAAAGTTTGGAATGCTTTAGTTGTTTGCAGTGAGAGCTTTAAGCTAAAATACACTGGTCGGGTTTTTTGTTTTTGTTTTGCATTTTGGCCCCTAGGAGTTTTCCCAAAATTAGATTCACCTGTCCAGCTAACTGAGATTCAGCCCGGCTGCCTTCTATAGCAGAGGTGGGCAGAAGGCCATGGACTAATGTCTGGTGAGCCACCTGTGGCTCTACAACCGAGAACGGGGACAGATAATGCCACAACTAATCTTCTGGTGTCAGGAGACCCTTGGTATTAGGACGGGATAGTTATTCGGTGATTGCAAAGCGATTCTGAGGATGCAGCCTTGTTCTATACATTTGAAGCACATTGATGCCGCAGGGGGAGTAAAGAAAGACGCAGCCCACGCAGCCTGAAGGTTTAGCTCTTTCTTCCTCTAGCTTTTTAGTGTCCTTTTGTCCCCTTCCTCCGTAGGACCCTACTGCTTTTGTGTCTCTTAATCTACTTTAGTTGTGGCGGAATGATGTGCCAGCCCTGTGTTTACACAGTAGTGGATTCCTGTGGGCCAGAAAGGTCACTCCTAGGTTTGGCTGGTGGCTTGCTTTATCCCCCTCCATCGGTGGGAGTCAGGCTTGTTGGCCTTCACCATCCCTCATGTAGTTAATTTTTGGGCAGCGCGCATGTTGAGAAGGGGCAGACCGTTCTGTTCAGTGGCCAAGGGGCGAGCAACAGGCTCACGTGCGCATGCAGCCACTGATGGGCAGAATCGGCCAAGGAAGGTATTTTAGAGCTGTGTTGTCTCGTTACCGGACCATTTCAGGCATCCATCTCCATATTTCCTTGTCCCTCGTGTCCTAGGGAAAATAAAAGAGCGAGCTCTTGACGAAGCAGGGCAGCTCTGAGCGCACAAGGCCTGGCTGCGCATGGAGATATGTTGTGCTCCCCAGAGGGGCTTGCCTGGCACCTCTCTTGTGCTCTTCTTGGCACCATGAGAAGACCTCTTATTTTCTCAGGCAGGCAGTTTAGTGTTTTGGTTTCTTGATTTAAGATTTTTGCGCTACCTCTCGGTTCCCTAAACAGCTGCTGTTCTTAACACTTGTGTGCATACAGTGTAAAATGAATACAAATATATAAGCATGATGTACCGGCTGGGCAGAAGTGGGCCTCTTTGCTTCTCCTTTTCCACAGCAGCTCGTCCAGTCCCCAGAAAATGCGATATGGGGAGTGAGGTGATCCAGCGCAATCAAATGTGTTGACATGGGGGAGAGTGGGATCCCCAGAAAACTGGAGGAAGGAGCTTCTTCGAATGGATCTCTTCCTCCTGCAGAAGGAAGACCTCCTTCTCAATTAATCCCTACTCCTTTCACTGGTCTACTTTTGATGGCTAGGTTTCTCTGCCAGACCTGCCTGCTGTACCCTATGAAACCATTCTCAAATTGTGTGACCACCTGGGTTTTTTGTTTTTTTGTTTTTTTTGCAAAGGCCTGGGAATTTGAGCCTCACAGGACGTCTTCACAGAGGAAGGAACACAGGGATTCTGGAAAGGATGCAAGGGAAAGCAGCAGAAGTTGTGGTGTTTTGGAATGTGTGCCTTGGAGCAGAGGATCCAAGGGGAGAGCAGGAGAGTCACAGCGAGTTCCTGCAGTCAGAACACTTCTGCAGTTGTGTTTGTGTCATGTGTGCCTTTGGGCTAGAGCTCTGCGGTCTGGATTGTAATGACCTTTTGGCCCGAGCTGAACAAGCATTCGAAACCAAGGCAAGCTGTCATTAGAGGAAATTACTGTAACGAGGCAACTTGTTTGTAAGAATACTAATTGTAGGGTATTTTGACTAGCAGAGGTTACTGTAAAGTGATGGCAGTAGGAAATGAGCGTGTGTGTCAGTCTCTATCCAGTGATCATTTGTCTCCAAAGGCTCTAGTTGAAAGAGAGAGATATTAATAGATGCATAGCACGTTCCCCAAGTGTTCAGGTAACAGGGTTCTACTAATAAACAGGTTTGTGCAAATAACAGGTTTATGCCACATGAGAGAGAGAGGGAGGAAGAGATATGTTTTGAGGCGTGCAAATGTTCTAGATGTATATATGTTTAAATGCAAGAAACACCTTTGTGAGAACTTTGATACTTTCTTTGCAAGCCTTTGATATAATTTGTGATCTGTGTCAGCATCATAGAAATTCAAGGGGACATAAATGACTTTGAGCTGCTACTGTTTCTTCCTCTGCCCTCCTGTTAGGGCGAGGTTGGCACCCCTAGCCGCGTTTCAAAAGCCCTCTGCACATGCTCAGGTCAGAGCTCTGGCAAGAGCAATCTGTTCCTCCTCCAGCAGCTTGTTGTGTGGAGAGGGAGTGGGAGGAGAGGGAGGAAGGTCTCGGCTATGTTTGGCACCGAGGACGATGTGCCCGCTGCCGGCTTGTGACTTCCAGCAGGAAAAAGCTGCCCACTGTTAAAGGTTCGTATTAGCTGGGAGCTGTGCTTTTTCAGGATATTCAACGAGAATCCATTGGATCACTGGTGCACACGGCTAGAGGAAAGCGGGGGATTCGCAGAAGAGGCACATGACCACCTGGCGAACCCTAGAAGGCGGACTGAGAGGCCCGGAGGGGGGAATTTGGGCTCTGGGTTTGAGGTCCCCTGGCTTGTTGCTCCTGGGAAGCCAGAGCGCAGCTAGGGTTTGCTTGCTGCTCCGGATGGATGCATATTGGCCCTGGGATCAGGGGCACTATATTTCTGAATGTGAGCTAGCGGGGAGCACAAGCAATAGGCTGCCTGCCCTGCCCCATGAGCTTCCCACTGGGACGTCTGGTTGGCCGCCGTGTGAGCAACATGCCGGAGCAGATGGACCTTCGGCCGATCCAGCAGGGCTTTTCTTACGGAGTTATGTTTGGTTTCTTTGCTGAAAGAGTTAACATCCAGCTAAGGCTGTGACAACTAAGATAATCAGGAATAGCGGACAACTAATGCTACTTTCGTCAGACTGGATCTCTGAGCTTTTAAACCTTTATTTTATGGCGTTTGAAGGTGGTGTTTCTCCTTTGTTCTTCAAGCTTCTGGTTGCCTTTTCTCCTTCACAGGTCAATTTGCAAGGGAGGCTGCAGGTTTCCTTTCCACCTGCCAAATAGGACCGTCATAAATCCCAGCCAGATTTATGCCTGTGTGTGGCTTGTTTCAGCAGGATATAAAAATAAGCCAATTTGCAAAGAATGAGGAACCCCCAAAGAAAGCAAAGCTGCCAATTCAGATATGAAGGGCCTTTTTGGGGGGGGGGGGGCATAAGCAGCACCTCCTTCTCCCAGCATTGTAAACACGGTTTTTGTTATCGCACCAAACCATCCAACTGTGGCGCGGGTAGAAAAGTCCTGCGTGGGAAAGGGCAGTGGGCTCCACAGTGCAGACCTGCTTTGCGTGAAGAAGGTCCCAGTTTCAACCCCCTTAAGACCCCGAAGCCCTGCTAGCAGCCGGTGTTGACCAATCGATATGAACTAATGCTTTGATTCAGTGGGCTGGTTTGCATTATCCCACAACCCACCTTGGCTTAATTCAGTAACCAAATATTCCCGAGTAACCTGGTGCTTTGTGGAAAGAGGTCTATCGAGCTCATGTTCTGTTCCTCTTCTGTTTTTTTCCAGGCAAGTCGATATTTTCCGTTGACATTCATCCAGATGGGACCAAGTTTGCAACTGGGGGGCAAGGTATGCAAGCAAAGACCAGTCGGCCTTGTGCATGTGTGAACCCCGCCTCCACAATGAAGAGCATTTCATTACTTCATTATAAACATTGCATTGCTTGGCATAATGTGATTTAATATCATTCTTTAATACGTTTCCCTTCTTTGCTTCATCTATAGTTCTAGCACAGTACTTTTTAATTAAAGAATTGCTATTTGTTGTAACATCTGATGAAACTCCTTAACTTTTCCTCGATCCTCATAAGTTGTCAGTTTTTATAGCTGGTTAAGCTACTAGTCTCCTCCTGATATTTTATAGCTTTGAGTTCATTTGGAAACCAGCCCACAGCTACACAATCCACAGCTCTGTTGACTTCTGCGTGTGCAGTTGCGGATTGCATCACAACCTTTGTTTCTACAGTGGCAACTCAATAGTCTATATTTTCTAAAGCCAAGGGTGAATGTGTCAGATAGGTTTGAATAAAACCCTGGGTGGATGCCTGCAAGTTAACACAAACAAGCGTTTTGTACTCGGTCATCATCATGCAATTACCTGCAATTGGAATTTGTAGAGATAGCAGTGCTTTTCTCTGAACTGAGTGCTGGTTTCTCTGTGCTGTTAGGACAGGATTCCGGGAAGGTTGTGATCTGGAGCATGGCCCCTGTCCTCAGAGAGGAAGACGAAAAGAATGAAAATGTTCCCAGGATGCTTTGTCAGATGGACAATCATTTAGGTACGGTAGAACGAATCCTTCCATTCTGGGGATGGTTTGCTCATACAGAATAAGGACTGAGGTAGAGAGACATGGGGTTTCACCATGTATCGGAGAATTTCCTGCTGCAAGGGTTACTCCAAATGTTATGCCAAACTGTGTTAAATGAGCAAGCCCCCTCTGGTCATATTCCTCTCTCTCCCGTCTTTGCTCGGTGCACTTTTCAGAAATACCTTTCTGATCTCTAAAGGTGAGTGTGTTTTGCTCTAATGCCAGGCAGCAGCCATTCTCTTTTTAAATAGTAATTTCCTTTGTGACTTTAATTCTAAAATGGTCCTTCATGCAGTGGGGATGCTAACCTGGTATATGCAAGGCTAAAACTAACAAATGCTTTGGTTATGGAAAACCATGCACTTACAGATTGTGAGGCAAATCTTCAAGCAGCATACCAAACAATAACACAACAATCAGGTCAGTTCAACAATAAACTACATTTAAAATTGTAAAGTTCTAAATACTAAAATATGGATGTATTCAAATGCCTGAGCACTGGCTGAAATGGATGCAAGGTTGATATTAATTATCTGTCCTTTTGAGGGCATTGCAAAGTGGGGTTGTCATCACAGAGAAGTCCTTCTCCTTTGTAAATATATATTGTAGGTCTCCTTTATTCAGATTGCTTTGATCATAGCCAGCAGAAAGACAAGGTAAAATAAGAATCTAAGTGTTAACATGGTTTGCACATAATGACCAATCAGAATATGGACTGAGCATTGTCATTGAAATGTGGGTTGACATCATGTGTGAACCTTGCAGTATGATTTAACTCTGGGGTATTGACCATGAACAGCCCAGGAAGAGAACACATGGTTTGTTGTTGGTTTGTTCCTGGTTAAAAAATCCATAGTTACACCAGAGTGCATGGCTTACATATAGTAGCAATACACAATTCTATCTCTGAAAGTGAGCTAGAAGAACAGAGGAGGGGTTGGAATGTGTTACTGAAATGACAAGCTTAACAAGTGAGATTATCCAGACCACCTCTGGATAACGAACAAGGCAGGTCAGAGGAGGAGAAGAGTGATTTTGTCAAGCCAGTGGTTTGTCATCAAGCCAGAGGAGTGAACCAAATAACAGATGTCTGGTGTTCCTGCTGTCTGTGCCACAAGAAGCATGAACGTCCCTGAGGGTAGAGCCAACCCCTTTTGGAGGGGAAAAGAAGAAGGGAATGCAATTTGGAATCAACTGACATGGGCAAGAGCCAACTCCACCTATCTGAGGGATCTCTACCTTGATAGATGCTACTCATTAAGAACTTTATTACTACTCACCCTGTACTGCCAAGCCAGCTTAGCTCAATAAAGGGCTGGACTTTAGAACCTTTTGCCTTGATCTGCTGGAAAGGAAAAAGGAGAGAGGTGTGTTCTCAACAGAACCCATACTTTAGGTTGCCATTACATGTGAACCAAGTCATTGCTGGTTCTGGTTTTGGATTTAAATACTTGTTGCATTGGTATAAATGTCCTTTAAGCAGAGAATAGTTGGAAATGCATGCATATTGTCTTTCCTTAAGCTTCTGGCCCCACACCTTGCTTCCTCCCTCCCTCTTTGCTCTTTAATGGGTGCGGCCCCTTGTTTCCCCATGTTCTTTATTAAGTCAATTTCACTTATGATGGGTTGTTTGTTTTGTTTTTAGTAAGAACTATTTTCTTTCTGAAACTTTCAAAGTAGAAATTTAATCTGTTGCTATTGCTGAGATCAGATGCCTAAACACAGCAGAAAGCGTAAAACACCAGTGCAGTTATCTAAAGCATGCCGAAAAATACAAAGAATTTTTATTCAAAGAATTCCAAGCTCTAGTCTAAAACCGGCCAGTGTTCTGGAATTGCTTTTTTCAGGCATCTTTTCTGCTGTCCCCCCCCCCCCTTTTCACTCTAGCCTGTGTGAACTGTGTGCGATGGTCAAACAACGGCATGTATTTGGCTTCTGGAGGAGATGACAAGCTGATCATGATCTGGAAGAGAGCTGCGTAAGTGCTTTTCCCTTGCCATTTTCTGGTGGCACTCGGGGCGATTTCTCAAATTTCTAATGCAGGCATGCAAAGAATGCCGACCCCTGATAAAATTGCTGCTTTAAAAACATATTTGGATGTTCTGTCATGTCTTCCCACACCCTTGAATTTGCTGCAGGCTGGAGAGGGGTACCTGTCGTATAAATGACTGCTGTGACATGGCTGTGTTTTGGTAACTCTGTTTCCTGCCCTGGACAGGTACATTGGACCTAGCACAGTGTTCGGTTCCAGTAGTAAACTTGCTAATGTCGAGCAGTGGAGATGTGTCTCAATTCTTAAAAGCCATTCAGGGGGTAAGTTTTTTCGGAGCTCTGGAAGATGCCTGATGTCCCTGCATTGTTTTCTGAAGATAGGATGGATGAAGTTAAAATTCGCTTCCTGTTGCCCGGCCTGTTAAGATAAGTGGTATTTAGAGGAGCTGGTATTGTCTCTGGTACTTCAATCCAGTTGTTGAGGTACTCACAGCAGGGTAGATATGTGCCAAAAAGTATCAAAAGTCAAATTGTATGAGGTCAACAGTCGATCATTTGTTTTTGTTTGTTTGCTTGCTTGCTTACTTATTATATTTTATACCACCCGATAGCTGAAGCTCCCTGTGAAGATTGCGATTTGAAACACTTTAAAAACATAAAGCACAGTATGAGCATTTAAACAGTGAGAACTGCAATATAAAATAGAAATAAACACCGTAAGGCTAGCAGCAGTATGAAGATTTAAAATACGAGGCAGGATTTAAAGCGGACTGAAACGAACATCATCACATTTGCACATTATTTTTAGCAGCTTGCATATAATATAGTAGAGAAAGTTACATCAACAAAGCAGGCCTGTTTCTATGATTATCTCTTCCTCCCACCCAGCCAGAAAACAGAGAGCAGTTCTGTGGTGTTTTGTAGTATCATTATGGGTGTGGTGTGAATGGGTAGACATCTGTTTTATATTCATGGTTTTGTGTTTTACAGTCTTCAGTTGTTTTGTTGAGAACTACCCTGAATGCACCTCAGTGCAGAAAGGTGGGCTACACCTTCCCTAAATAAATACACAGCCCAGAAAAGGGTCTTCTAGCCTCATTGGCTGGATGACCTGGACAATTGTAGTCACTCAGTATAAGGGGAAAAAAGTCCAATCTTGCAAAAAAGAAAAATACTCAAGTTAAACACAGATAAGAGAAAATTATTAATACATCCAAAACTAACAAGCTTAAGTAAACATTAACATTGCATAATGCTGGTTTCCAGTTCTTTATAAAAGTGCCCATTAACTAAACCAAGGATAAAAGTTATGTGGCTAAATCAGAATCATGTGGAGATACAGCCACCTTGGCAATAGAATTTTGATTATAGCCAGATTATTCTGCATTTCTCTTGGAGCAGAAAGGTACTAATTCACTGGTGTTGCCTTTCTTTCTCATGGTGCTATAGCTTACTGAAGTTGTTTGTATTCCATACAGATGTCATGGATGTAGCATGGTCTCCTCATGACGCTTGGCTAGCCTCTTGCAGTGTGGATAACACCGTCGTGATCTGGAATGCTGTGAAATTCCCAGGTATGTGACGAAACAGATGGACTGAATTCCGAACATCAAGAGACAATTGCTCTTGTCCATGTTCGGTGGCCCTGACTTCTCGAACCTGGAGCCATCCAGATCTTTTGGCCTCCAGTTCTCACAGTCCTTGACTGTTGGTCATGCTGGCCTGAGTTTTTGGTGAGTTGCTGTGCAAAACATCGGGAGAGCACCAAGCTGCCTGTCCCAGCTCTACAGCCTATGCCAAGAGGCTCACAGATGTTTGCTGAGATTTGACATGGATAAGTACTTAACTGCAGTCCGTTTCCCAGCGTGTTCTCTCCGAGGCATTAATTTTCCAACAGCCTGACTCAGCCTGGGGCTCTACAAATGTATTGGATCACAACTTCCAGCATGCAAGCTAGTGAAGACAGGAGTTGTACTCCCACACATCTGGAAGGTTTGGGGTGGTCTGCTGTTTAGGATTGTTTTTTTAATCCTTCCTCTGCGTTTGCGAATGAGCCTTTTTTTAAAGGCTTGAATGCCAGTGTGGTTGAACGCTAGCTTCTACCAGGATAAGGTCAGGTTTTATCCTTGTAGTGCATTGTTGGGGAGCCTGTAACCCTCCACACGATGTGCAGCCATCTCCCATCAGCCACTGGTTGGATCACAATTCCCATCATCCCTGACAACATCCAGCAGACCACCGCTGCCATGCCTTAATGTGATACCTTGAGGGTAGGAGTGGGCAGACATCAGGTTTATGGGGTATGTTTGGTTTTTTAAATGCATGTGGAAGTCTACCAAGCAGAGCTAGACACACCTCACGGGATAAAGTCAATTATCTACTGCACCCTGTGAATCAGCCACTGAGATGAATGCAAATCTAGCTGTGATGTATGTACGTCAAACACTGCACTCTAGAATGTGCCAGCAGAGTTGAGCAAGGACCTGGTCAAAAGCAAACTCAGCAGACAAAGAATTTTCTTTTAAAAGTGTCCTTGTCCTTTCAGTGCTGATTTGAGGCCCTCAAAATCCTGGAGCTGGCCCTGAAAAATCAGAGAGCAGTGCTACTGCAAACCAGCCCAAATCCTACCAGCTGATTCTTGTCTTCATTCTGCCCACCTCTGCTCTTTTTTAGATTAAATAGTTTCCAGAAATGCTGAAAAGTCTCAGTGTATTGTTTTTATCTCTTTAGTGAATGCAGAGATACTTGCCACTCTGAAGGGTCACTCTGGCTTGGTTAAGGGGCTCACGTGGGACCCTGTTGGGAAATACATAGCGTCACAAGCTGATGACCGAAGCTTGAAGGTGTGGCGGACCATGGACTGGCAGCTAGAAACCAGCATCACCAAACCCTTTGATGAGGTATATTGGGTTAGCAGTCTCATGACACGACGGAAGACAAATAACTCTTTTAATATCTCATTCCAGAAGCAGACTTTATTAGCAGATTAAAATATTAGCCTTTGTAACCTGAAAAGTGGCAAAATGCTTGGAGAGGTTCCTTCCTTTTCCGAGAAGAAACAGTAACTTAGATACAGCTTACACTTAAACATTGCCCTGCAAAAAAGCTCTCAGTGCATGACTTATGTTAAAAAATTATGGCCACAAGATTCAAGATGAATATTAGAAGGGAAGAGGAAACTTAGCAAGTTCAAGGTACCAGCTCTTTTGCAACTTCATGAAGCTGCATTCTAAAAACTTAAGGAGATATTTCTGGGAGAGGAGGAGATATGTTGGTATTGCTGCTTTGCTTCAAGCAGCTGAGCAGGTGAAAGGGCCTTCATTCTGTTCTTCCTCTCCTGCAGCCAAAGCGATGCCACTTGGCTGCAGGTGAATGAAGGGATTGCTTGTCTATTGGGGGTATCAGCACCCATGTCATACTGGGGAGCAACAATGAACTCACTAAACAGCCCTGCAATATAGTACATTTGGAAGATCATTCATTCACTCAAAGCTTTTGTATGCCGTCTATTATACAAGTTCTCAGGACGGCTTACAATAGTTAAAAACAATTAAAACAACAATTTCAATAAATAATAGAACAAAACAATAAATCACAAAACAAACAGAGCAACTAAACTTAAAAGCTGTTAAATTTTAAAATACTGTTTAAATAAAAAGGTTTTGGCCTGGCACCGAAAAGAGTATAAACTTGGTGCCAGGCGTACCTCTCTGGGAAGTACATTCCAGAGTCTGGGCACCACAGCAGAGAAGGCTCTGCTCTGAGTTGATGACCTTTTTACCTCTCTTAGGTAAGCAATAGGGGAGAGGGCCTTTGTGGTGGCAGCCCCCAGCTGTAAAATTTGCTTCTCAGCAAGGTCTGCCTTGAGCCAGTGTGGTTGTCATTTTGCTTACTTGCCTTTAGCACAGGCATTTGGTAGCATAAGCTTGGCCTTTCTTAATTGGAACTTAGAAGTGGAAGTTTATTCATGATTGTTTTTTGCTGTTTCAAACTGTTTAATTTTTTGTGTCCTAAAGAATCCATCCATCCATATTTGTTTTTGTTTTTGTGAAAGCAAAGTGAATTTTAGAGATCCATGGGGGATCATTAGAGACTCTTTGCTCTGCCGTTCTGGTTTGCAGGGCAAGCCCCACTGCAGCTTTGCTAGTTTGGAAGCTGTACAACCTGGGAGGGAAGGAGCTGCAGTTTGAAAGGGGAGGCTGGACCTTGTGAGCCTGCAGCACCTTCCAGCCTCAATCTCATGGTGCCAAACCAAAGTCTGGTGTTGGAACTGAACCAAGCTATGACAGTTGAGGAGTTTTGCCTTGTCCAACCAGATCATTCTAAAGCAGATGCTACTGCTTCCGGATCGAGTACACCCTTATTTCTTTAACTGAGCATATTCCAAACTTCTTTCCTTTGGTCCACATACATATTATGGGTGGTGTCCTCATTCTTTGTCTCACACAAGCTTCTAAAAGCAATGCATTCTCTTCATATGCTTGATTCTGGTGGGTTTGTAAAGTGTAGTTTTAGAACAGTGTAATTAGTAGTTGAGTTATTAAAATTGGAATTGTTTTTGATATTGGTATTTTAAATGTAATTTTAATAGCAATATTTTAGTATGATTTTGATGATTATGTAAACAACTTTGGGATTTTATTATACTTAGTAGTATATAAATACTAAGTATATTATAAACAAACAGTGATGGAAAACCTCTTGCCTCTGAGCCTTGTTTGGCTCATGGGGGATTCTTTCAGCGTGGAACAAAGCAAATGTATGTGGGTGGATGGGGGAATATGACATGAATGGACATAGCAGTGTGGACACACCAGCAGGGGAACAATCAGTCCCACGCAAAACATCTCTGCGCACCTATTTTAAAACTTGGATAAAGTTTTATAGTTCCACAACATAGCTTTGATGCCCATGTAAAGCTGTGGAGCCAGCATTCGGGCCAACACCTCATGAGGATGACGATGCTTTAATTTCTATACTGCCCAGCGCTTCAATACTGCAAGGAAAAATAATTGTTTTTGGTGCAACATCAAGATAACAATTTGTGTGCACATTTTCTGGACAATTACAGGTCATCCAGCATAGGGATTCTTCCCCCCCCCTCACGAATCTATATACTCAAAACATCTTAAATTATGGCCCTCTACCCTTTTTAACGGGATGCAAGTGGCACAGTGGGCTGGTTGATCGAAAGGGCTGTTTAAACTGCTGGGCCGGTTGGTCACCAGTTCGAATCTGCACAATGGGATAGTTCCCCTTGCTCCATCCCAGCTCCTGCCAGCCTTGCAGTTTGAAAGCATGCAAATGCAAGTAGATAAAAAGGTGCCACTTCAGTGGTCAGGTAACAGCGTTCCGTGCACCTTGGTGTTTAGTCATGCCGGCCACATGACCACGGAGACTGTCCGCGGACAAATGCTGGCTCCCTCGGCTAGGAAACAGAGATGAGCACCGCCCCCTAGAGTCAGGCATGGTTGGACGTAACGTCAAGGGGAAACCTTTACCGTTACCTTTTACCCTTTTTAAACTCTCCCTTGTTCATCACTTTGATGCTTATTTGTTTGCATTGTTCAGAAACTTGAAATGAAAAATCCTTGATTTAAAAAGAAGTCTTAAAGTGAAAGTTTTGGATGACTGTATATGAAACCTCCGTTGACCCCAGTACCATGCTCAGAAGTGCAGCTCTTCATGCTTCATCTTTCCTTGTTTTTGTGAACTCTGACGAAAACGTGTCTTGGTGTAATTATGCCTTCAGTGCGGAGGAACGACACACGTTCTGCGGCTCAGCTGGTCACCTGATGGGCACTATCTAGTCTCTGCCCATGCGATGAATAATTCCGGGCCTACAGCACAGATCATTGAGCGGGATGGGTGGAAAACCAACATGGATTTTGTTGGCCATCGCAAAGCCGTGACAGTAGTGGTAAGTTGGTGTTGGTTTATAAGAGGTCGACAAATGTCGTATGTGGTAAGGAGAGTATTCAATATTAACTATTACATTGAGAAGCAAAAGATAAAGGCAAGTATACTAGCATTAGATATATTCAAAGTAGTGGTAACTTGGCACGGACAGCAGTGGGACCAGGCGGCCTGAAATGCTGCCGTCGGCCATGTAAGATGCGAGCTAGTGTGGCTACACGGTTAAAATGTTAGGATTAGATTTAGGAGGTCTGCTTTTCTCATCCGCACTTGGCCATGGAGTTAACTGGGTGCCCCTGGGCCACTCACTGACTTTAGCCTAACCTACCTCATGGGGTTGTTATGAGGATAAAATGGAAGAGGAGCATGTTTTGTGCTTATGTTAAGCATTCACATTTTGCTTTTAATTTGCATTTTGTGGTTAGCCACACTGAATTCCCATTTTTGGTGGAAAGGCAGAGAGCCAGTGTGGTGTAGTGGTTAAGAGCATGGGACTGGGACTCAGACAATCTGGGTTCTAGTCCCTGCTCAGCCATGGAGCCAAGTGGGTGACTCTGGGCCAGTCACAGACTCTCAGCCCAACCTACCTCACAGGGTTGTTGTGGGGATAAGATGGAGGAGGAGATGTAAGCTGCCTTGAGCCCTTTGTAGGAAAAAGGCAGGATATAAATTAATTAATTAATTAATAATAAATATAAATTAAATAAGGTTCTCCCTGAACACAGACAAAATAGAATGCAGGTAACTGAAATGGGAGACTGCTGTGTTAACTTTAGGTAATTATTAATTAGCATTGCACAGAGAAGAGTAAGGGAAGTCCAGCTTGCTCCATCCCTGTCGGAAGATTCAGGTTCTAAATAGTGCAAAGAAGACAAATAGGGTTAGCAAGGAGATGAGCCAGGTAAGATCGAAGATCACATTTCAACATAATCCTAATAGTTATTTATTATGTACATTTCTAATTCACCTGATAACTAATGTTACAACCAGTCAAAAAACCAAACCTTTAAAAATATAGTTAAGAGTATACAGTGCAAAACGATAAATAGCACAGCACGGAATCAAACAGCTACATTAAGCTAGCACAAGATCCCTAAAATGCCTGGGAGAAGAGAAAGACCCTTGTCCGGTGTGGAAAAGATTCAGGGGAATCTCTTCAGTGAGTGTATTCCTTAAGTGGGGTGAGACCCCAGGGAAGGCCCTTCCTTTTATATCCCCCTGGCCAGCTTCCTCTGCTGGGGGCACCTGGAGAAGGGCCTTTGAAGATGACCCAAGAGTTCAGGCAGAGGATAGGTGCCATTTGATACTCCGATCTCAAGCCATTTGGGGCTTTCAAGGTCCACACCAGCACGAATCCAAAAAATATACAGGATAGAGCTTTTAAAGGAAGCTTATGTTTTTCTTTACTTGGTTTCGTGCCTAATAGGTCATTGCAGCGAGGACCACAGTAAATGATCCTTGAACATTAACTTGATTTCTTCAGTCAATGAACTTAATGAAAATTGCTTGGCTCTTCTTTTTAGAAATTCAATCCAAAAATCTTCAAAAAGAAGCAAAAGAATGGGAGCTCCACCAAACCTAGCTGTCCTTATTGCTGCTGTGCGGTTGGCAGCAAAGATCGGTCTCTTTCTGTCTGGGTAAGTTCTGTTTTTGTCCATGTGGTCTAGCAAGGGTTTCAGGAACAATACTGAGTGCAGAGCCCACTGTGGATTCACAAGTCAACCTGGATATTCTCTTTTTAAGACTGAATTATTGGGAACAAGTTGCTGATGAAAGACTTCTGCATTAGCAACAAGCCTGGCATGGCTTGCACTCTGGCCCAGCTTTTACTGTGCTAGGAACTTCAATATGCCTCCTTCCCTCCCTCCCGGTTTTTCTCCTAGAATGTTTACATACGTGGTATGATTTTCTGCATGCTGGGGCGCGGTCTTTAAAGGACTTTTTAGATGAATTTTTAGATGAATCTCTGACACTCATCAACTCCGAACTTTCTGTTTTCAGCTTACCTGTCTAAAAAGGCCTTTGGTTGTGATACATGAGCTGTTTGACAAGTCGATCATGGACATCTCATGGTAAGGTGGCTTAGATAGTCGTGTGAAAAAGTGTCCAGTGGGAAAGTTCTGCTGAATGCTATTTGTCCTCACCTTTATGCCGTTTGCCTCTTGTCAGCTGTCAGTTCCCCATAACGTTCCACAATATGGAACTTCAAGTATGATTAGCTCCTTTCTCAAATATGTGCAAAATGCTTTCTGCTTGCTTTTCTGTATATCTCCGAGGAAGCACATTGGCCCTCAATGGCTCTAGGGTTGTTTCCTGCAGCCGGAAGAAATCATTCAGCAAACCAGGGAGACTCTGCCCATGGTGTGTTCAAAGTTGTGTCTGGCTGTGTCCTGTCCTAACATGACAGAGTCATATACCATGGCTCGCTCTTCGGTTGTGACTCTGGCTTGTTACCACAAGGTTCCTGGGATTTTTATATTTTTGAACATGAATGTTTTAATATTTATTTAGTATTTAATAATACTTTATTATGTTGCACTTTTAGGCTTTTAATCTTGGTAAATTGCTCAGAAAGCTTAGGCCGTGCAAAATATAACGAACAACTGAACTCATGTAAGTCATGTGTAGGTGGGCTCACTTCCAAAGCAGGATCAGTGCTGAACCTGACCAGAGGCTGAAGCTTGCAAGCACCTGTGACTTCATGGAAGTTACAACTGGACATGCTGCATCTCATTAGACAGGCATGATTAGGGTGATTACAATGCAAGATAGACGTGCATTGTTTTACAGAAGCGAAAGAGATGATTAAGGCCGCAACTCTATACATGCTTCCTGGTGAGTAAGCCCTGTTTTGTTCAGTGGGACTTGCTTCTGAGTAGACAGGTGCCGGATCGTGCTGAGGTGTTCTGGAGAGCCAGTGTGGCGTAATGGTTAAGAGCTCAGGTCTGGGACTCAGGCGACCTAGGTTCTCGTCCCTGTTCCACTGAAGAGTCAACTGGGTGACTTGGGGCCAGTCACAAACTCTCAGCGCTGCCTACCCCACAGGGTTGTTGTGGGGAAAAGATTGAGAGCAGGAGGACAAATGAGTAAGCCACCTGGAGTCCTTTAAAAAAAGAAAAGGGCAGGATATAAATCTAATAAGTTTTCTACTGAAACACCCTGCAATTTCCACGCGGCTGGTGGGGGAGAAAAAAGATGGAGGACCTCTGCATAAGCCGTGTGTTGCAGAGGGTGACCTCCCAGCCACTTGGTGGTGCTGTGCTGTTTGAGAGGCGGTAGGAACAGTGTTGTCTTGCCCCTATTTCCATCCACTCCCCCTGCTGGTGAGGCAGCATTCGCCATGTAAGGGAGAAGGCGCCTGCAGAAGCAAACGGAGAAACCTGGCCCTTACTGAGTTCAGTGTGCCCCAAGGTATGCAAAGAAACAGTAAGTGGGTTGTTTAAAGAAAGGGGATAAAAGCAGGATGCTGTTAAAAAAAAATTAAACAGATCTTTAGGCTACTTTTTGGAAAAACTGTCAGGTTGGCATGCAAGCCAGAACAATAGCATTTGTTTGTTTTCTATTTATTTATATTTTCTATGCCACCCAACAGCCGAACCTCTCTGAGCAGGTCTTTTGCTTGTCATATGTATACACGACAACAAAAGAACAGACAAAATGTGCAGAAATCAACATGAAACTTCCGTGAAGGAAGGCTTGTCTGCCATGATGGATTTTTTTACTAAGGAATTACCGATGCGTGTCTGAGAAGCCTTGGGAGACTCTGTAACATAGCACAAAAAGCACCAACTCTCAGTCATTTTGAATCTTGCTTGGAATAGATCTTACGCAAGATCTTAACTGATAGGCAAGATCTTAACTGATGTAATAGACAAGTTTTTAAATCTGGCAGGGAGTATTTGAGATGGCCATGTCTTGTATTGATTGTACAAATTTTGCTTAGCTGTTGCTTCTCCATGCATCAGATATTCTGGCAATAGCTATAACATCCCAAGGAATCCCTTCTTACTCCTGCATAGTATTTCTCTAGCTGCTCCCTGTGTCTCTGCCTCTTTTCTTGGCCCAGTGGCACATTTCTTTGGTACAATTGTGCAGCCAGGGTGTTTCCGGGTTTCAATTGTATTTGTATTATATTTATTTATTTCTGGGAGCCGTCCCGAGGCTACATAGCAAGGGGACGGCATACAAAAACTTTAAATAAATAATAAAGTGGTTTAGAAATAATAGCCAGCTCCTACTGTTGAAAAGCCCCATTGGAAATGGTGAGGCCTTGCCAGAGGATCGGCAGCAAGTTTCCTAAAAAGACGGCATTTTCTTTAACCACCATTACAAGGCAAACAGACTTTCTTCAGGAACGCGTTTTGTAACGTGCCCTGCTCTGAAACCGAATCGGGCAAAAGCATGATTATCCAAAGAGCATCCATTGGGTAGCGTTAACCTCTTTGTCTGGCTTTCATATTTGTGCAAGCCAGTTTCGGTAGCTGACGGCTGTGAGCTCTAAGATGCGTTTCAGAGTTAGCCAGCATGTTAACTCCCTCAGCTTTCCTAGTAATGAGCTGTTGTTTCCGTTGTAAGGTGCCCACAGAAATAATTGATTTCTTTTCTTTCAGGACCTTAAACGGCCTTGGCATCTTGGTTTGTTCCATGGATGGTTCAGTGGCATTTTTGGATTTTTCCCAAGATGAGCTTGGTGATCCACTGAGCGAGGAAGAGAAGGTAACATGCGCTCTTCTGGACTTGAGCATTAAACTTCTCGTCTTAAGTGGGGGGGAGTGTTTGCTTGCTTGTAGTCTTCATGGCCAGTGCTGACTGGTCCTTTTGAGTCTCACCTAGGAACGCATGGCCCACATGCAGTATAAACAGGTGTGTGCATTTGCACCTGCAGTCAATGGCACACACATGCACACACAAAAGCACATGCATTTGTGCTTTTTCACGTTGCTGTCACCTGAAGGGAACACGCACAGCTGAGTGGGGCTGTTCTGCCTGGTGTCGAAGTCCCTGTTTCAATCGATGGCAGCTCTCTCCATCAGAATCTGAGACAGCAGGAGGGCTGGGAACATTCTTGACTGGATTTCTTGGAGGGCAAATCTATTTTAGATCAGGCTATCCTAGGTGAGCTGGGATCAGTGGGCTAATGCTGTAGAATGTTGCTTTAAATGTCCCTATCCAACTTATTCTGAGTGCGGCCTTTGCATAGCGCAATGAATCCTCTAATGTCATCAGCAACGTGTTGTAGGAAATGTTCCACTGCAATATTTTTCTGCGGAAAATATTTTAGAAATCCATCGCCCCATGCTCTGTTTTCTGTGCTGGAATGAGCCTTGGGCTTGAATGCCCTCCTCCTGCATGGCGTTCGTTGCCCGACTCCATTTTCAGTTTCCTTGGCTCCCATCTTGTCCTTGCATGCAAACTGGGAACCGAGGGTCATAATGATTTCTAATCAGTTTCCAGGCAACCCATCTTCAGCGATGGTTTCTGTAGGCGTCTTGTGAAATTAACTAGCGTTTGTTTTTCTTTTAATAAACGAGGACCTCCAAATTGCCTGCACCGACTGCATTTACAAGGCAAGTGCATCGGAGGCTCATTTACCAACACGACATGTTGTCCTCGCGCCTGCTGGCTCTAGCATGCGATACAGAGCAGTTTCTTCACGTGCAATAAGAAAGCACTCTTAAATAGGACTGCTAAAAATTGTGTGTCTTTTTAAGACTTCTTTCAGAATGAGGTTTTTCCAAGAATTATCATACACGTGCTGAGTTTGTTTCGGTATTGTTAGTGTTGGAAATATCCTCCATTATTTTGCACTTCACCTTACGCCAAGGATATAACCTCCATTTATTTTTTTTTAAGCTTCAGACTTCTCTGACTAGTCTTATTCTCTTTCTGTCTGCTCTACTATCTTCAGAATCGAGGGGTGCAATCCATATTTAGATAGAAAAATGCTCCACATTTCCTAGCATTCCTCAGCCAGCATCTAAGCATGGATAGTTTTGCATCCTAAACCTCTTTATCAGGACTTTTCTGTTTCTTTTATATTTCTGCCACATCTGTGGCATGTTAATGCACTAACTAACTACAATATGATAATATTTCTTGCTTGTAGTCATAAGCTCCTGCATGCAATACTTAAAAAAGAAAATGCCTAAACACTGGCATAAGACGTGGGCAATTAAGCTTCCTGCTTTTCATTCCGCATACAGTGCAAGGCTAAAATAAATCCTTAATAATACCTTATACTGATTTCTCTTGCCTTACTTTGTTCAGATTTATCAGGTGTCCTTTCAGTTCAGTGAAACTTGATTCAGAAACCCTATTTGGATTCACTGGACCTTATGTTCACCATCCAGTTGCATTGGGACACACTGCGGGATGCGTCTTCATCCTGGGGTGGGCATGGAGTGGGCAAAACCACTGTAATATGTATGGCTAAATAATAGTGAAAGGCAATAGTCGTGTCAGGGAGATCAAGCTGGGAATAAGCATTGTGTCGGTACCACTGAAATTCTTGCATCACCTGGTTGTTCAGCCCGTGCATTTCCTCATCCGTGACTACTGTGGTTCATGCGTCTTGTTTCAGCAGCCATTTTCTCTTTGCATGTTTTGTACCTCTTAGAGCAACATCCATCAGTCTACTTATGGTAAAAGCCTGGCCATCATGACGGAGGCCCATCTGTCTACTGCTATCATTGAGAATCCAGAGATGCTGAAGTACCAGCAGAGGCAGCAGCAGGCGGAAAAGAAGAGTGAATCGATAAGAGATGGAGTGGGCTCAGCCACTGCCGCAGCTCCTAAGGTGGCAAGCATGGTGAATGGAGAGAGCTTGGAAGACATTAGAAAGGTACACATTTCAGGTGGCGGTTCCCTTCCGTTAAGTGCAAGGCTTGGAATTGGCCTGGTTTATTTGTTGCATTTCTCTGCCACCCCACAGCCAAAGCTTTCTGGGCCATTTGTGCAGTCCATAAAAAGAGATGATAAAAGTACAATACACATATCATAAAATCAGAAAAAAACTGTTTAAGCAGCTAGAAGCAGAAAATTAAAACAGGCCATAACAAGGAATAACAAAGAGGGAGGGAAAGACTGTGGGACACTGGTGATCTCCCTCAAGCCTGGCTGAGGAAATCTTCAAGGCCACAGAACAGGTAAGTTGTTAAAGGCCTTAACCTGGCACTGGGAAGGTTTGGTCCTCACTTAAGCACTAGCCCACAGCATTTGTTGCTGAATTCAGGATTGCTTTGTTGTACAAACATAGCCATGCTAACAAACCATGGTTTCTTACCAGAAAAAGAAAGGGAACCCATGCTTTGTGGCTGGGTTGTGAACTCCATGTTGTTTAAAGAATGAATCCAGAACCACAGCTTGTTTGTGTGTTGTTTCACCAAGCTATACAGACAGCAGATGAGTAGTAAAGAAATCTTTGCCACTCTAGGTATCAGTGCCATAGAATCATTTGGAATTCAGGAGGGGAACAAGGAAAGGGAGAGCAAAACAACTCGGGGACTGAGAAAACCAACTAGGATTTGCTTCAGTTTTAGGGGTGCTTCCAAATCCACAAGAGGCTTGCTTGCTGGATCATCGTTCAGTATTGCTGTTGTTCAGTGAAGTCTTGAGCGAAAAATACAAGTCCTTCTTCCCAAAGATGCTCCCAATCTAAGCCAGCCAGTGGTGACCTTAATAGGAGTTAAGCATAAGTACCAATAACCACCTTTCTTTTGACAGAATCTTTTAAAGAAGCAAGTTGAGACCCGGACAGCAGATGGTCGGAGGAGAATCACCCCGCTTTGCATAGCTCAGCTGGACACTGGGTATATCATGCTGGGTTTAGGGTCTTGTAATGTTCCCAATGTATATGCTATCTTTTTCCATGCACCCCACTTTCTCTCTTTCTCCCTCCTACCCTCTTTTCTCTCCCTCCCTCCCGATATGTATATTTAGACTTATTTCAAATATATATTTCAACCTGTCTTATTTCAAATAGGTTTCAAGCCATTCTGCAGTAATACACTGTTAAAACAACTGCTACTTCATCAAGACGGAATGCAGCAGCAATTTCTGCAAAGTGTATTTTTTAATGAAAGTATAATGCACACAAGTGCAGAGGAGAATTTAGACCTGTGCATAGGCCTCAATTAGTATTGGGCTACTGTGGGATCCTGAATGCCACACTCTTTCATCCCATTGGATGTGTCCTGCAGGGATTCTGCTCTTTCCCTAATGCCATCTGGTATTTAAATTGCTGAGGAGATTGTTCAGGTGCAAATACGGCAGCACCACTGGCATTTGGATAAGTCCCTGCTCCAAGCTTTCTCTTGCAAACCCAAGAGAGCCCAAACCAGGGAGTGAGTTCAGTAATGGGCTGGGTTAAGGTGAGCTGATTGAATCCAGATGATACTGGTGTGGGAAGTTCCAGTAGATCTGGAAAAAGATGTCTTGGCTAGAGAGATCCTCTCATGAAAGATCAGTGGTACAGTCTGGGGCAGAATCCAATGTTGGCAGTCCACTAAGTCAAAATATGTGATGGTAGGAAAATGGGGAAAATAGCACTTGTTAGCACAACCCCAATAAACTACCCTTGGTAGCAACAATCTTTTTAGTCCATCTCCTCCTGCTTCTTTTGGTCCTGTAACTCAGTGCACCTCTCTGTGTTTAAATGGTGTTCCTCACTGATCATGCCAGAAGGCAAATGTAATCTTGGCGCTGAAAAAAAATAACATCTCCCGTGACACTGTTCTGTTCTCTTTCTCCACTTCAAACAGGGATTTTTCGACCGCTTTTTTCAATAGTATTCCAGTATCTGGATCCTTAGCAGGCTCTATGATGTCAGCTTCTCAGACGAATCAGCTCATGTCCTTAGATTATAATGCGACCAATTCCCTCGGCACTGCCAAGGCTGCGTTGGAGCCAGTGGCGGTCAGTGTTAAACCAACTGAAGACGCAGCCAACAAAGATGGGTCAGTATTCGGCAGGAGAGCTTGTCTTCCACCTTTTCGCCCATTCGGACACACGTGAGGGTCCTGCAGCAGCTCAGAGACAAGTTGTGTTTAGGATTGAGCTGTCCTGGAATAGGTCTTCCGTGGCCCCGCTCCTGCTTCAGTGAAACCAAATCATATTTCTAGGGTCCAGTGCTGGACCCCCAGCAGTTCAGTTCTGCGGGTGGTCTCTGCTGCTGGTTCCTTGCACAACGAAGCCTTGCATGATAGAGATAACAGCAAACCCCCAGAAGGGCAGGGGCAGCAGTGTGTGGATCAGGGCAGCCTGCCCTATTCCAGAAGCAGGCATTTCTGGTTGCTGCCACATGGTGGGGGCCGCTAGCTGGACGGAACCGGCAGAAGCACATGGCCCCGTTGGGTCCTGCCCAGTATGTATGAGCCTCCCAGTGTGGTTCGAACAACTCGACTGAAATAAAAGACCTGTTTTGGCAGCATAGTTAATGTCACGGGGGCCAGTCAGGCACTGCAACACCCTTGATCACCACACTGAGAACGGCCGTGTGTGCCGTTTCCTTGCAGGAGGGCTGAGCTGGATGCATATTCCTACTGCCTGGGCTTTCGTGTTGGCACATGTAATATGCGTGTACCAGGAACTGCTTGCAGTTCCTAGCCAGAGGGTGGACTTGAGTGAGTATTGATGATGATGATGATGAAGAGGATGATTGTCACCCGCTCCTCTTTCTGCAGTGTTAATGCTACCTCCGCTTCAGCCGCTCCCCCTGCATCGTCGCCCTCCATGCTGACAGCCTCTTCCAAGATAGAACCCATGAAGGCATTTGACTCTCGATTTACAGAGCGATCCAAAGCCACCTCAGGGACTTCTGCCATGACGCACACCAGTCAGATTGCCATAGACAGGTGAGGCGTGAGCGGCACAGGTGAGCGGGCAAGCCTGGGGGTCACAGAGCTGCCCTGGGCCCAGTGATGGTGAGCCAGGGAGCGGCCCAAGGGCAAAGGTTTTTGTTTTTAATATGCCCGGGGTGAGAAGAACATAAGGCAGGACTGTGAAAGAGCCCTTGCTCTGCCTGCAGGGGGCCCTGGGTTCAGACCCAGATATCCCCAGCGAGATGGATCGGGGGTCCCTGGTCTTTCTGAGTTCCTTTTGCACATGTAGAACGGTGCGAGTGCTCTCAGCTTGCGAAGACATAAAATAGCTGCCGTGTTGGTCAGGGCTGGTCGCACAACACTCATTGTCCAGAAGGCAAGCAGGTAGAACAAAAGCCGCGGGGGCTAAAAGGGAATCAGGTGGCCAGAGAGCCTCAGTACAAGGGGCCAGACAGGCGGCTGGACTCGAAACAGCCTTTATGAGCCCTACTGAAGGGGGCATCGCAGGGGGGCTCCTCGCTTTGCCTTTTTTAAAAATGTCCAAACAGTCTTAAGAAACGAACACTGGGAGGAGCGGAGCGAGCAGTAGAGGTGTCCGTGGCACCTTGTTGGGTCGTTTGGCTGGAACAGGCGAGGCCCACTGCCTGAGGCCATGGGGAGCCCCTGCCAGTCAGAGCAGGCAGACCTGGTCCAGTGGGTCCTGATCTTGTACAGGGCAGCATCCGCTTCAGAAAACCACTGTAGACGGTGCAGCTGATTCTTTTATTCCTCGTGTAGACTGAAGGAGCAGGATTCAGTCAGGGAGAGTAAACCCAGGGATGTCCTAGAAAGCAGCAGCGACAGTGAGGAGAAGGTCCCGGCCAAGCCGGTGTCGCTCTCCAAGCGCAAACTGGAGCTTGAAGTGGAAAAGAAGAAAAAAGGCCGGCCTCGGAAGGACTCCAGGCTTATGCCTGTCACGCTGACCGTTCAGGTAACCAGGAAGCGCATCGCCTCCCTTTGATTTCTGCTGAAGGTCCTCTTACAAGCAGGACCGATTCCAGGCGTGCTAGTGCCAGTGGCCAGCTCTGCTGAGTCCCATGGTTCTGACTGCAAGCACAGTGGGCGCACTGGGATAGCAGTTGTCAGTCTTGTGGATGTTGCCCTGCATTTAATCCGGAGCTGCAGTGGGGCACCCACTTCAGGTTTCACTGCACGCTGGAGGTGGTCAGAACATGGGCCAGCCCCGTGCAGCTCCTGCAGGGCAGTGGCGGCGGAGGGAGGGGGGTGTTCGCGATCACCTGAAAGAGCAGAAATGGCTCCCAGACCTCCCAGAGTGTGTGGACCAGGTCCGAAGGAGGGCAAGACCCCAAGCGGGTTGAATACAGGAGGGTAGCCAAACACACCTATGGCTTGTCGTGACCAGGTTGAAAAAGCCATCTAAAAGAATGTTGCCCGTTTGCACTGGGTCATCTCTCTGATCTTTTACTACACATATTGTCGTTGGTTTCCCTGTCAGTTGTGTTGTGTCAAAAGAACAGACCTTATGTTAGTGCCACTGGTTAGAACTTCGGAATGCAGCCTGTTTGTGTGTCCTGACATGCTGGCCAGAGACAGGGCAAAGGAGGGCCTCCCTCCCTATCTTAACACTCTTTTAGGTAGTTCTTAGCACTTCTGTACCCTGTTTATTGACTCGCATCCTCAGTGTGGTTCACCACTTATGAAATTTACGGATAAACTAAAAACCGTGCACGTAAACCACACACGCTCTTGATGGAGTGGGCATCTTCTGTTTGTCTTCTGCCGCCCCCTCCCCAGGATTCCTTTTCTGAGGGCTGATGTTGGAAGGATGACTCAAACATATTTTGTGCTGAACTTCAATTGACCTGGTCATTTTACACTTGTCTTTCAGTCCCCAGCTATCCTGGCTTCTGAGAAGGACGGTGCTTGCCACAGCGCACCCTTAGCACTTAAACTGCCAACCCCAGTTCCACAGAAATCGTTTGCGTTGCAAGTAAGTGGCTGACAGAACTAAATGGGCAGGTGTTACTTAACTTTCCTTGATGTCAAAATTCAAAATGGTCCTGAGCTGACGTGTAGATGTGGATATGGCTCTCAAGAGCAAAAGTGCAGAGATATTTCCAGAATCTCAAAAAATGAAATCAATGAATGGCGAATTGTCCAGAACTCAAGAAAGCCCTCCCATCGCAGTACGTGCTTGATTCATTGGAGTACAACTCCCATCATCCCTACCCAACATGACTAGTGGTCAAGAATGCTGAGAGTTGTGGTCCAAAACATCAGGAGGGTACCAGGTTGGGGAAAGTCGGCGTGATCTTGCCAAATCTGCCATTTTTAGCTTATGAATCAAGTGCCACTATAGACAATCATGCAAAAGATTTGAGACCAGGAAACACAACATGGAATTAAAACCTGTAAAAACGCAATCCTCTTCTGACTTGCTCTTAGCTTTCTGAGACACCTGAACAGGATGGCAGAGGTGTGTGTAGTGTTGAACATAAGAGTAACACATTCATAGTTTGTGAGTACACACACCCAACTGACTCCCGTTTTGTTTCTGTTGCCTTGCTGGCAGACAGCCAACCAGGATCTGGGATTTGGATGTCATTGTAGGGAGTAGTTAGATGAAGTAGCGAGAGAGGCAGGAGCAAATGAATTGTGTATACAATCCCACTGTTTGTTTACAGTAACCTAGGAATCTTGGGTCATTGTTATCTGTGAAGCCATGGTTTGCAGCTACCATAGTTTAGAACTTGAAACATGTTTTGCACTTGCATGGATTTGCATGTGTTTTCCGTCTTCACACTTGAATTCAGTCTCCTCTCTAGAACACTGCATTCTTGGAATGCGTAGTATTCAAAACTAAATTCACATGCCAAACAGAAGAAGAGCCTATTAATAAATATGACAAAGTACCTATACATTGCATACTCCAGAATGATCCTTATGGCTGCTTACTAGCTGTAATTAGGCAGGTGCCACTGGAAGCCCTTTTATGTTTGAACAGCAGTTTTAAAATCTAATTTCTGTGGGTTTAGATATGCAACGATTAGATGCTGCAAACTTTTAAGAAATTATTTAAACTATATTTGACACTTCCTTGCTCAGCCGTCATTTTAAGAGAACTGGTTTTGTAGGTAAGCTCGGATCCCTCCATGTATATTGAAGTGGAGAATGAAATCACTACAGTCGGAGGCTTAAAACATAGCAGATTAAAGTGCAATCGAGAAGGAAAGGAATGGGAGACAATCCTCACCAGCCGAATCCTCTCTGCTGCAGGAAGCTGGTATGTGTGGGCGTGAGTTTTGTGTGTGTCTAGGACCATCCGGAAGCGGCAGCAAGGATGTACTGGAGCAGGGCTTTGTATTTGTATGGCGCTTTTTTTAGCATATTCAAAGCAGTTTGCATCCATTGGGTGGCTACAGGCATAATGAACACATAACATAAGAGCAGCCCCATAACAGCCAACGGTCCATGGACTGCTTTGCTCACACAATGACCAGCCAGCTGCCTGGTCGTGGGACACTCAAAAGTTCGTCTGCAGCAGCAGCACTCTTATTTGTGTTCTCTGACCATCTGTTCTCAGGAACGTACTGCCTCCAATACTGAAGGGATCATATAACCATCATTGGCTGAGGCTATTTACTACTTTGTTGTGTTTTAATGGCATTTAACATAGTTTTTTATGGTATGCTTTTATTCTTCTGTTCTAATTCCATTTTTATTATCAGCCTCCTTACTTAACAGATGCTCTATAACCAAGTTATGTAGGCATGCAGCAAGAAAAACAAACCAACAAACTAGAAATACTCACTTTGTGTTATATGAGTGACCGCGAGCTTTTCTGGCTCAAATTTAAAAAGTTGTCAATTAATAATCCTTTTAGTCATCAGGTGAAAGCTCCCCTAGTCTCCCACACTTACAGGGATACAAGTGTGGAACCTGAACATGGCTTCCTCCCTCATTAAAGTTTATTTTTGTCTTGGCTTGTATCTTTTTATGTGGCTCTCACTTCATATGCAACCACTCTAGAAAGCGTTGGTGGGAAAGACTGGACTCTTGGTCTTTCTGATCAATTCAAACCCAGCCTTGGTATTTTTCCCCTCCTGCCTTTTTCCAGCGAGGTGGTGAGTGTCGCTTGTGAAAAGCGGACCTTGTCTGTGTTCTCGGCGTGTGGTCGCCGCCTTCTGCCTCCCATCGTCCTGCATTCGCCGATCTCCACGTTGCACTGCACAGGTTTCTACATCATGGCTCTCACAACCGCGGCAACGCTCTCTGTCTGGTAAGCTGTGACTATGATTTTATTTATTTATTTAAAGCATTTTTATGCCACCCCCTTTGCAACAAGCCTTGGGGCGGCTTAAAAGCAAATAAACGTTGAATAAAGTTTAAAAATCTTTAAACTCGGCAGATACATCTCAGCAGAGCTATAAAAACCAATAAATAAAAACAGCAAGTAACAGTTAAAATATCGTTTAAATAAAAAGGTCTTGGCCTGGTGCCGAAAAACAAATAACGACGGCGCCAGGCAGACCTCTCTGGGGAGCACATTCCATAGGTGGGGCGCCACCACAGAGAAGGCCTCTTCTGGGTGCTCACCCTCCTAATGTCCTTCACGGAGGGCTCCCGGAGAAGGGCCTCTGCCGCCGATCTCAGGGGGCGGGAGGGCATATATGGATGCAAGTGCTCCTTTAGATAACCAGGTCCCAAGCCGTTGAGGGCTTTATAGGTGATAACCAGCACCTTGAATTGGGCCCGGACTTCAGTGGGAAGCCAGTGAAGCTGACAGAGCACTGGGGTTATGTGAGAACAACGCCCAGTCCCCGTCAGCAACCTGGCAGCTCTGTTTTGCACCAATTGAAGTATCCGGACCGTCTTCAAGGGCAGCCCCACGTAGAGTGCGTTACAGAAGTCTAATCTGTAATTTTTGTTGGTAATGACACCAACCTTTCTGGCATTTTGAAAAGAATAGTGCTGTACTACACTGGCTGCAGGTGCATCTGCGTCGTGTCTTTTTTTTGCCAAGGCATTGCATTTTGTGACAGACGAGCATCTGTCAGCCTATTTCGTGTGTTCCCCCCATTTATGGACCCTCATGCCAAGCTATAGTTTCGGTGGCCCTTTTGACAATTTCGCTTTTCTCCAATGTACTCATAGCATTACTGGAGTTTCATTTCTTTTAATGCCTCATCTTTTGCATTAAAAATTGCCTCAAGTTGGCTTACAAAAGCAATAAAATTCACTTTGCAGCCTCCATCAGCCAAATAAAAGCAGCAGTATTAGTCGCTAAATGACGGGAAGTAAAAAGCAGCTGCCAGACATTCTGTTAAAAGGACTTCAGGTACCAGCATTGGCTGAGAGCAGGGCACAAGTCCCCTGGCACCTGGAAGAGAGCGTGAGGTGAACAAGGCTTGGGTGGAAAGTCCGTGAATGGTGCACCACCTTAGACCTGGTTTTTCTCCAGGGCTTTTTACCCACCTGGTTGCGCATCGCCCTTTTTTCTTCAGAGCTTTGTGTGGTAACACCTTTTAAGCCTCTCCTACAAGGGGCAAAGAAAGCTGGAGGGGATTAAAAAAATATACAGGAAAGGAGGAATCCCTGGCTATCTTTTATTTCTCCTTTTCATGGCAAAATTTCCCTGTTTTCCTTCTCCCAACTTCTAGGGGCATTAGCTGCTCAGAGAAGGTCAACAAAACACCAAACTGGCTGTGGAGGAAAGGTGGAGATGGGAATTGTATCCCATTTGTTCAAACATGTGAAAACCAAGTTCCCACTGATGCCGTTTTTTGGCAGGGGGCAAAACACTACGCAAGTGGGGCGCACACAGCTCAGGCTTTCCTCTGTGGGGCAGTCAGTGCCAGTGTTTTTCCAGTCCTCTGAGTCTTACCAAGAATTAAATCCGCTTAGTTGACCAGTCCTCTGAGGCATCAGCAAGGAGCAGCACATGCGCAGCCCGTGTGTTTAATGTTGATGTTTTACCATCCTACGTTTTGATTTTTCCCACTTGTGGAAACATGTCCACTTCGTGCTTCGCCGGGCAGAAACCTCATTCTTTTCCCTGCGTTTCTTTGCCGTTCAGGAATGTTCAGAAACAATCCGTTGTGGTGAAAGATGAATCTCTGCAGACCATTTTAGCAGGTAAGGAAACGGCTCGCAGCTGGCGCTTTCCGGAAGCTGTGCAGTCAGCGTGTCGCGTCCCTGCGAGCCCGACTGCCCGACCTTTCGCTTTGCTGCGTCTTCTCTCCCTTCTGTGCCTCCACTTTTCATCCCAGCAAATGGTCCTTTGCTGGCTTCAGTCCATTGTCTCCGAGTTCTACTTTCTCTGAGCTCTGCAGGCGAGGCTGCCGCTTTCATCCAGGCCCCCTCATTCTGCTAGTACGATGGTGGAAGGTCAGTGTGTTGAAGTTGTGGCCTACAGCTCCCAGCATCCCTTGCTATTGGCTGTGCTGGCTAGGGCTGATGGGAGCTGTAGACTGACATTTCTGGAGGGTCCCGTGTTCTCCATCCTCATCCTAGCCTGTTGCTGAGAAAAGAGCCAACCCTCATTTCCCCTCTGCAGATGCACATTAGAAGCGGACTTAAATGCCTGCTCTTGGTGCTTCCTTTCCAAAATCCTCTCTTGGAGCCCCGTGAGATCCAGGCACCGCAATTTCTCGCAGGGATGCTGTGAGCCTCTTTCAGCCCGAGGGCCATGCTCCATGTTGGAGGAGTTCTTGAGTTGCTGAAAACACCAGCCTTGTTCAGTTTAAAGTTCTCACTTCTAGGAACGAAGCCCTTATGAAAGGCATTCCAACTTTTTAGGACTGAGGGGGCAACATGTGCAAAACCTGGGAGCCGCCTAATGATCAGCAGGGAGGGGGAAAGGGCTTGGACCAGACAAAGGGGGTGGTGGCCAGCTGGGGAGCCCAGAGTGTTTCCTTTGGCCTGAGCTTCTGCAGCCCTGGTATATCACATTTAATTGCATGGGCTGTATAATCGCTGTGTGCCCACACAGGATCTGAGGCCTGCCTTGCCTTCAGTTCTCTGCTCTGGCTCAAAGCAAGTCTCAGGGGTTTCAGAGAGAGCTGTTTGCTGCCTGAGATGCAGAGGCTTGAACCCAGGGAATTTTTCACACAATCCGTCTGCCCCACCCCTGAGTTGCTGCAGTCTCACCACAGCTGAGCTGCCAATGAAGCTACGTCTAAGAGTTGAAAGCGGAACAAGTTCCCTTCATTTCTCAAACCTGTTTTAAATTTCCTACCCATCCCTGTCCATTCGTTTGCTTTGCTTGTAGGAAATGAGACCACCGTGTCTCAGATCTTGCTGACACAGCACGGCATCCCCATAATGAACATGTCTGATGGAAAAGCTTACTGCTTCAACCCTTCTCTGTCTTCCTGGTGAGTACCAAGTGGGGAAAGTGTGTTCTGCTTTCATTGATGCTTGACGGGACCAGATTCGCATCTCGGCCTTGCGTGGTTTGCTCTTCAGGAATGCGTCAGTAAATCCTTTTGCCTGAGCTGCCCTGGAGCGGCTTGTCTCTGTGGCAGGCGTCTCGGTTTCACTGGGCTTGCTCTGGAATAACCCTCAAAAACAGTCTCGAAATGGAGACCTCTCTCTTGGCAGTACAATTCCAAAGGCGCATTTGCTTTCTGTGGCAGTGCACATAGTAGAGCAGAGTTAAAACGAGGTTCAGGATGCGTGCCTTTCAGATTTCACCAGTCAAGAAGTAAGAGACTGGCGGGAATGTCGCTTCTGTGCTTGCATTCATCTCGTCCCACATTTGCTCACCTTGGGTTTTGTGATCTTTCCAGGAACCTCGTCTCTGACAAGCAGGAGACGCTTGCCCAGTGTGCAGACTTCCGAAGCAGTTTACCACCCCAGGAGGCGATGATGTGCTCGGGACCTTTAGCCATAATACAAGGAAGGACATCCAAGTACGGACTGGGGTGTTTTGCCCTGTGCCGACGCTCTCCCAGGGTTGCTTTTCCCCTTCATCCTTTCTGTCTCCCTTTTGCCCTTGCCACCACCCTGTCATGTTCTGCTGTGTGGAGAGCCCAGGGCTGGCCCAAAGGCACCAGGGAGCTTGATGACTGAGTGGGGCCATGGGAACATAAGAGCCTTGCAGGATAAGACCAAAAGCCCAGCTGGTCAGCCATTTTTCTGCAGTGGCCAGCAAGGTACCTCTGAGAAGTCCATGTGCAGGACACAAAGACAGTAACCTTCTCCAGCTGCCGCGGAGCCCACGGCACAAATGGATGGCTTCCCCGAGCTTGTGGGATCCTCTTTTAAAGCCGTCTAAGCTAGTGGCCACCACCCTGTTCCCATACAGGAATTATGTCTGCCTGCTTGGAACCTCTCAGGGACACAAGAAACTGCTCGAAACTGAGTCGGGTGCTTCTTTCATCTAGGGCAGTTTTGCAGGCCTGACTGGCAGCAAGGGTTGTGCTGGGTTTCAGGCAGATTTTTCTGTCCCTTCCTGGAGATGATGGGGGTTGAACCTGGGCCTGCTTCCTCGCCCCACCCTTGCCCTTCCGTTCCTCGTAGATCTCCACATCGGTAGGCAGTGCGGATGGGTCTGCCCACACGAGCGTGTTGCTGCCTTCCTCTCTTTCTCCTTTGCGTAAGGGGAGGGGGTGAGAAGCATCCCTTCCTTTCTTGAATTACATTGCAAGCAAAACTCAGGCAGGACTGGAAGCATCTTAGGCTTTGCCATTAGTGTCTAAAACAGTCCTTGGCACGGGCGCACGCGCACCGAGCCTCACCGTCTCTTCTGGGCCAATGGAAATGTTTTTCTCTCTGTCCGTCGTTGCAGTTCCGGCAGGCAAGCAGCACGATTGTTCTCCATGCCTCACCTGGTCCAGCAGGAAGCCACTCTGGCATACCTGGAGAGTCAGGTGGCAGCCGCGTTGACTTTACAGTCCAGTTTTGAATACCGCCACTGGCTCCTTATCTATGCACGGTATCTAGTTAACGAAGGTGAGCTTGGAGGGTGGGGCTTGGGTGGATTTTCAGTATACCAGTGTGGGGAAAATCTCATTTTCAGTTTTCAGATTCTTTCCCATCTCCACTGCCCTTGAGGTATCTGTCATATGGCCACTTTCTCAGTTGTAGTACCCTGGTATTTTCCTTTCCTTGCAGCCCCACCTCTCGTGGGAATCAGCCCATTAAAGTTTCCCTAAAATTCAGTGTGGCCATCTGGTTAAAAGGGTTTCTGCACCCTGGTTGAGTCCCTGTAGCTGGTGCATCGACAACTGAGCCTGGGAGCTTCAGCGTGTCTGGTATGGGATGCACCACAGGGCCGCGATCCCTCCCCAAAGGGGAAATGCTCTGCATCTGACAGAGGAAGGCTTTCAGCCGGGCTGAGTTTCATTTTTATCAGGACAGCAGTTTCTGTCCTTGAGGCTGAGGCGAGTCCAGCTCAGGCTTGGTCTCCTCTTTTGGAGTGCTCTAGCTCCCGATGACCAGCTAGCACCCAGACCATGGCCTGTTGGGCTTCCAGACAAGAAACAGGCAAGTTTATAAGAGGATGGATTTCTAGCTCTCTTCCTCACTTGGCAGCTCACTGTGAAATCTGTAGTAACTGCTGTGGCTGAGATAATTTCCATCTGCCCAGTAAGTGCCACCTGGGTTCTGCAGGGGTTTAAGCATGCAAAGGCCTGAACGTGATGCTTGTGGACCTGAGGTCACGTTCTGTTTTCATTTAGGGTTTGAGTATCGATTGCGGGAGTTATGCAAGGATTTACTGGGTCCGGTCCACAGCTCGAGCGGAAGTCAGTGGGAATCAACTGTTGTGGTAAGTGTTGTAATAAGTGTGGTAACCGGATTAAACAAAATTCCTTGCACACCTTTTCCTTTTCCTTTGCAAAGCTGGGCGGAGCGGCAGAATAACAGACCCAAAACATGCCATCCTGACTGCTTACAACCCAGTTGGTGCCTTCGCATTTAGCGGTTGTTCAGTACCACCCTTGTTAATACTTAGAATGATTTTTAGCAGAGTAATCCCAATTTGTAGCTCTCAGCCACGCTGAGAATATTTTGGTAAGCCAGCCAGAATAAATTCTCAGTGCTAAAAGAGTAAGGATATGTATCCAATATCAGAAAGGGCAGCACTCAGAATCAGTGGGAAAACATTTCAGCTTTCCTGTACATTCCGGTATTGACATAAAAGTGGCTCAACTTAACAAATATAAGTCACCAGTTTTATTGGAGCTTCCCTTTGAAGTTCCGTCGTTCGAAAAATTTGGTTCTGTCTCCTGTAGGATGAATTAGGATATTGGTCTTTTATTACAGTACATAAGCTAATGAATTTACCAATGCCATGTTATTTGCATTATCACCAATGCTGTTTCGTGAGTGGCCATCGTATTTAATTTACATACAGTTCAACTTCGGTATGTATAACTGCCACTGGCTGTATTTCTTGCATTTCTTGCATCAGTACCTGCTGATTTAGAATAGCAGCCCATGCGTTTGATGAAGTGGATTCTGGTCCACAAAAGCTACAGCCATAATCCGTTTTGTTTTCAAGGTGCTGCTAGTCGTTTGCTTGTTTTGATGCAACAGACTAAAATGGCTTGCTTTGGGTAGTCATCCTGAGGCATGTGTGGCGACAAAGCTATGGGGAAGACCAGGTGTGCGAGTGTGCCAGCACTTACTGTGTAGATTGTTCAGTGATTTGTTAAAAATGTGGTGATCAGAGGCCTATTTTAGAACTCCTGTGATCTTGGAATTTGCTGCAGGTTGTGAAACTTGTACCATGGCTTGTGGCTTCAAATACAGTAAGTTTCTCCAAGCGGTCATATATCTGGGCACAATTGCTACAGAAAGGAAAGAGGCCAAACTTCACAATTCCCAAGTTAACTATAATCTCCTTTTCCTGACATGATGTGCCTTTTATGGCTGTGTTTCCACTTTTGCATAGGGCTTACGAAAGAGAGAGCTTCTCAAGGAACTGCTTCCTGTCATTGGTCAGAACCTCCGTTTCCAACGGCTTTTCACAGAGTATCAAGAGCAACTAGACATCTTGAAAGACAAGTAGCATCTTCCCAGATGTTTCTCTGCCTACAGGGGGAAAAAGCTGGGGAAAAAAGCATTAAGACAGAAGAGGAATGGTCAGCCTCAGAATGGAACACTCCTCGAAGGGGTGGTACAAGAACCAGGCCCACCGTGTTTCATGGAGCAAAGTACTGTCACTGTAAAAGGAGGTCACAAGAGGAATGTGTGGAAATATGGGGATGAACAGCATTGTGCGTTTCTGCTGAGTGGGATTTGGGCAAAGTGGTGTGGCCTTTGGTGGCCATGGAAAAGCTGTGGAGATTGTCCTGCAGGGGTCCTTTTGATTCCAGATCCCAGAGTGACAAATCGCAAGGAAACTACTTGCGAGCTGCTTGGATTTAGGATATCTTGTGAAAAGCACAGTACAAGAAGAGATACTGAATAGCTTATTAACCCTTCCTCTGGGGTTCTTTGCTAAGGATTTGTTGCGGCTCTCTCCTATATTTGGGTTACATAACAGAGGAGTCCCACAAAAGAAAATTTCATAAACTACTTAAGGAATTATGCAGCCAACAGACTCTTATCTGTGAATAACAATAAAAAATAAAAATAATTACAGGCTGTTCTATCACACGGACTATTTTTGTACTAGAATTTGCTAACTTGTAATATGAACATTTTATTTGGCCAATAACCAGAATTTCTCTTTACCAAGTCACCTGTATGAAACTTAACTTGTTAATTATGACAGCTCTGTTGCTGAATAATTGTACCAAAATTAATGTCATTTGGTTTTTAATTTTTAACTATTTGTAAGAGGCATTTGTGGGGATGGAGTTGGGGGGTGGTAGCTGAAATGGGAGGGATGGTTTTGGGGTTTTTTTTTGTAAGCAAGAAAATAAATGAACATGGCATTGATCTAAGAAAAGCATTGACCTTCTTGTGCTGCTTGTAGTAGCATTAAACTGTACAGGCAAAAGCCTGTTAAAACAAACTGAATTCAGCCTTTTTCAGTTAGTAGTCTATTTAATTTATTTCAGCTACGGATCATCACAAAAACATTTTTTAAATCAAGCAGAAAGTGTGCATGTGTGTTGTGCATGTACGTGGGAGGGTGTCAAATTAGATTCCAGATTTATTGGACTACCAACTCCCATCAACTTCATTCCAGTGTAACAACTTTTGTTCGTTTGTTTAAAAGATGTAAATACTACTGTGGCTCAGTGGCAGAACACCCATTTTGCACACTGAAAGCCCATGTTTGGTCTCCAGCACTTCCAGGTGTGGCTGCAAGCCCGGAACCCTGCTGCTAGATTGTGTTGATAGCACAGGGCTAGATGGACCCATAGTCTGATTTGATGACTCGCCTAGTTCGGTCCCTGGTGCAGCCTTCCCCAGCCTGGGGCCCTTCTCCTGCCACCAGGACCCTTGGAGGAGATGAGCTGAACCTAACACAGCTAGGCCTGGGGGCAAATCCAGGCCTCCATACTGTGCAGGAGGGGCAAAGGATCCCTGGCAAGTGTGGCAGCTGTTGAGGGCATTAGAGTAAAAGCAAACATCCTTTCAGGCTTGCAGTCATGGTGGTCCTGTGATTCAAGACAGTTTAAAATGCAAAAGTAAGGAACAGCTGCTTACTGGTAACCTGCTAAAGCAATTGGAGTGCATTTATGAAAAAAAAAACCTTGTGCCTTAACAGATTGTCAGGTATCGAGGTATCTTCCTGTATTACTAGCGTTGTTCTTATTGTTGAATGTATATTCTCTCATTTGCCTTTTGCATGGTCATCTCTGCCTCCTCTCTCGCTTATCTCCAGTAGGACAACAACCCTGTGAGGTCGTTAGGCTGAGAGTCTGTGAATAGCCGGAAGTCACCGAGTGAGCTGCAAGATCCAGGAAGAACTAGAACCCAGATCTCCCAAGTCCCTGCCCAAAAATGCCGCCCCGCCAACAACTAAAATATTGTCGTGTTGAATGTATTTATTGTTAAATATTACGTCATGACGCCGTGCCTTCCCTCGGGTGTACCGTCTATCGAGCGGGCGTGTGTCGTGGCGGGTAGGAATTAGGTGCCGGAACTAAGTGACAGGTGCAAGTTTCCCGGTCGGGATGCTTTGAGTGGTGCATCACCCAGCACGGAAGTACCGTATTTACGGGCCTCTCCGGAAGACGAGCGCTTTCGGAGGTCGCTTGCGCGGTGGCTCCCGTTCCCTGGGTTTGTCCGGGCGCGCCCTGTTGTTTCCCGGCGGCTTCTCCGTGGTCGTTCAGCCGCCGCGATGGGGAAGCGACAGCACCAGAAGGACAAGATGTAAGTGCGGCGCTCGTGCCGTTCGCTTTCCTCCGCTTTCCCAGGCAAGAGCAGAAGCGCCGCGCGTGGTTTCCGGGAGCTCGTAGTCCCCGGCTGCCTCTCCTCGCCTCTCCCCTCCTCTCCCCCCCTCTCCTCCCCTCTCTTCCCTCCCCTCCCATCCCCTCCCCGGTTTCTGCCCCACGGAGGAGTTCCCCTCTGCTTCGCGTGGGTGTGTGTTTTCGGGCGCCTGAGTCGTTGGCTCTTTGAGATTTTTAACGTGCTTTTAAAAGCTGCTTTTACATCTGTAATAATGTGAGCAGCGTTCGTTATAACAAACGTGCAAGATTGGGCTAGCGGCTTTCGGGTGCACGAAGCATTCCATATGCTTAAACTCGGAGCGTTAGAAAAGCCATGCAGAATTGGACCCCCTAGTTCAGTATTTTGCTCCCACAGTAGCCAACCAGCTGCCCAGGGGAAACGCAAGGGAGCGCAAAAGCGCCCTCCTGCCCGTGTTTCCCGGCAGCTGGTGCACGTAGGCTTACTGCCTCTGATACTGGAGGGAGCCCAGAGCCACCAGGATTAACAGGCATCAAAAGCCTTCTCAAAAAATGCAAGGGTCATGCTGGGTCTGGTCAAGCTTTATTTATCAAATCTGCAAGCAGGGCATGAAGCAGCACCCTTCACTAGTGCTTCCTGGAAACTGGTGGACATAGATATTGCCTGTGATACTGGAGGTAGCTATGAGGGCTACTAGCTGTTGATATGAGGGCTAGTAGCTGCCCTCCATGAATTGGTGCAGGCCCCTTTTAAAGGTTGTCCAGGTTGGTGGCCAGCAGTGCATCTTGGAAAAGCAGATTCCGTAGACTTCTCTGTGCACTGGGTAAAGTACTTTTTCCTGTCCTGCGTCTCTCACCATTCAGCTTTGTTTGATAACCTAATATTCCAGAATTATGAGAGAGAGAACTTCCTTTGTATCCATTTTCCTTCTTCTGCATTTCCACCTTTTATCCCCTTATATTTTTAAAAGATTAACGCACCCACATACATTATAACTTTTCCTTCTCATAGGAGAGTTCCTACCAGCCCTTTGATCCTACTGTGTTCAGTGAGACTTGCCCCTTAGTAAGCATTCAATATCCTAAACCTTTTAGTTATTCTCCTGCTCCCTTCAGCCTATCTCTTATTAGGTGGTTCTTCCTTTCAGTGATGTTATAAGAGACATTTCATTTTTGGGATGTTGCATTCAATTAAGTGTGACATCCAAAGCATCTTAACGGAATGCTTATTTTGAGCACCTTTTCTAAATTCTTGGTTGGAAGCTCATGGTTGCTGGATTTGTTTCACTTAACTATGTCTTTCCTCCCTTTAGGTACATAACATGTACAGAATATACACATTTTTATGGAGGCAAGAAAGCAGGTATGTGATTTGGATATGCTTAACTCTTAGAAAACCTGCTGTAGTTGCTTCCTTCACACCTTACATGTATGACTGGGGATAGCCAAGCCGAATAGGAAGCAGACCTGTTCCAGTACTCTCTAGTATTATACTCCTATTTGGCTGCAAATTAGCATCTGCTTCTTGCACAGGGTTGTCTATAAAGCTGCTCTGCCCATTCAAGGCCGCCGATCAGCCTGGAGTGCCGCATTATCACACTGGACGTCTTTCCGCCCCTTTCCAAGCTGAGCATGCATCATCTGGGTAGTCAGTGGTGGGCCCTGCCTCCTCTCTTGGTCAAGCCCCACCAGATACCTGTCCTGTGATGTCTCATGGTGCTCTCAAGGTACCATTGATCTGATTTCTGTATGGATCTGTTCTCCCCCCCCCCCCGTGCTTGCTTATTGTCTTCTTACGGTGAATAAGACTGGCTTGGTATAGGGTTTAAATCTCCTTCACAGATAAGTTCGTGTTTGGGCTGTGATGCACTAGACCAACTTATTAAAACTGTCACAATTCGGAGAAAAAGCACAGTATATTTATTATCAGCATGTTTATCTTAGGTGGAACATGGTATATGCAGGTGTAAAGTCATTTTTTCCCTTCTTTGAACAGAAATTCCACAATCCAACTTCAGACGCCTCCCTTTTGATCACTGCAGGTGAGCCTTGAAAAAAACATAGCGTTCAAATATGTTGTTCAATTTCTTTTTCTTTTTATTCCCTCCAGAAAGCTGCCTATTTACTGAGTCTGACCACTGATTCATTTAGCTCCAGCTTGTTTGTGCTGTCATGCCCATAAGCTCCAACCAACAGGGCCAAAGGTTCAGCATTTTGAATGTTGTATTCCAAAGCACCTGGAGGATACTCATTGCTTATCTAGACTAATTGGGAGCAGCTCTCCTTGGTTTTGGTCAGGAGTCTTTCCCAGACCTACCTGGAAATGCTTAGGATTTGAGGCCAGTAACTTTGTCCTGAGCTCTACGAATGAATTACAGTTATTCTGATAATTTTGCATTGCTTCTCTAATGCTTATGTTTAAATTTGTCCTTGTGAGTCTCCATCTGTTTCTATTCCTTATAATCAGGGTGGTGGGGAGATAAATGATCCCTCACCCAGCAGTTCTTGAGCCAGATGTTCTTTAGTCCTTGGTGAGCATATCCTTCTAGCACATCCCTCAGTAAGTCTACAAAGGCCAGATGAGGCTGGATTAGGGTTGAAGATGGAGGTTTTCCTCCCCTGTGTGTGGTGATCTGAAGTCTTGCTTCAGTTGTTCTGATGTTCAGAGTCTAATAGGAGGTGGGCATTTTCAAGTGCAGAGTGCCCTCCCCAGAAATATGCATTCTAGCCATTTGTATATTAAATAGATTTCTCAGGAAGTCCACAAACTATCTGGGGGCGGGGGGGAAGACTAGCCAGTTCTTAATGCTAAGCTGTAGTTTAGTGTTGTATGCAAACCAGACTTGTTGGAATGATTTGCTGGCATCTTAGTATCCACTAAACTTTCTTTTCTCCCCACTAGCTTATCTCTGCAGCCGTTTGAATATCCTGTTTGCACCCCAGATGGAACCATCTTTGACCTATTGTAAGTGATTCGTTTTTCTGTAAATGATTCATGCTTAAGCCCCCCCCCCCACCCCGGTATTAACTCTGAAAGTTGGCCAGTCAGTCTTTGGGCTACATGTGGAACTACGACCTGCTCAGAGGTCTTTTGTCTTGACAGAAGGCGGCTCAGGCAGATTTTAAGTGTTTTAAATGCTTTAATATTTTTCATTGTGTATTTATAGCATTGGTAAATTTCTGGTTTGTTTTTTAAGACTGTATACTGCCCATTGGAGAGTCTAAAAGTCTCATCAACTATTCAGTAAAAGCCAGGAGTTCCACGCACTCTTGATCTCTGTAGAACAAAGCCAAGAGATAAATAAAGGCATAAGCAAAGACGGGCATGGTGTAGCTTTCCATACCCAGTCCTCTCTAATTCCTTACCACCACTTCCATTCACCCACCAGTAGCTCGTGCCAGTTGGAACAACATTCTGGGTGTAATTTTTCAGAACTAGTTAAGAATGCATTTTGCCATGGGACCAGCTTGTGCGAGGACTTAAAAAAATAATTTTCTGGTGCAAGCACTGCAGGCCTCCAGATTTTCTGTTTGGGGCATTTGTCCCCTCACTGGCATCTTGCTCCCACTTTATGGCAATTTGGCAGGGAATGTCAGACCTGTAGTTCATTGCCAAGAGATGCTATTGGAACAGGGAGCTGCTCAGTTACATCAGAATGTACATGTCTTTAAGGGAGGCTACGGGTGTTTCTAACTTTGACTCTTGCATCTTTGTGCCCGGTTAGGAATATCGTTCCTTGGATAAAGAAGTACGGGACGAATCCAAGCACAGGAGAGGTACGTTTTCTTGAACTGTTTAATATGTCCTAGGTAACTTTTGGGCCTCTCTCTGTCGTGACCGTTCCAGTTGAGTCTTCATTTGGCCTACCCTGTTTTTATCTCGCTCCAGTTTTAGGATCCCAGGAAGCTGCCTTAGATAGGGTCAGAAGTCAGAGCAGCATCCTGTCTAGCCCAGACTGATTGCCAGTAGATCTCCAGGGCTTCGGGCAGGGCTCCTGCTTAGCCTTACCTGGAGAGGCTGGGAGTTTAACCTGCAACTGGCTCCTTCCGCATGCAGAGCAGAGCTCAGTTGCTGCGCCACGGCCTGCGGCGTGCGTGGCTGTCACCAGTTTGGACTGCCTGGAAAGGAGGTTGGACAAACCCATGAGGAATCGGTGGGCATTAGTCCTGATGGCTACATGCTGCCTCTGCAGTGTGCCTCTGTGCCCTAGTTGCTGGGGAACATGGGTAGGAGGGGCCCCTGGCACGCATGTCCTGCTTTTAAGTTTCTGTTGGCAGCTGGTGGGCCGTTGTGAGCTGGAACGGTGGCCAAGTTCTTGAACCTCCCCCCTTGCATACTTCTGAAGGGGAAAAAGCGAGTGGGGGGGTGTGTGTGTGCTTATTTCACACATGTGCCCCTGTCTTTTTTCTCTCTGGAGAGCCTGCACTGGGCTTCTTGGGCTTGCCCTGCCAAGTTGGCTGGAATTGACTTTGCAGCCCACCCAAATTTAAGGAAAGGAAACAGTGATGGGTTGCAGCTCAGCAGGGCAGGGCATGTGGCTTTTCATGCAGAAGGCCCCGCTTTCGATCCTCAGCATCTCCAGGTAGCTTCCGACACAAAACAAATCACCAGTACCTTAGCTTGAGGCATTTTGAGATGAGCTTCTGTATCAAGGGGGACTTTAAAAACTTCACAGATACAGCGGTGTTTCCCCCCTCTTAAATATTCATTGCTGCTGGAAAAGACGGATGCCTGATGCCTTGGAGAGCTTCTTGCCTTCAGTGTAAGCTTGTGCGGTGTATTTGGTGGTTAGAGTGCTGCTGGGCAGGGACCTGGGAGACCCAGGGAGTCGGGTTCCCGTTCAGCCGTGGAGCCCCCTGGGTGGCTCGGGGCTGGCCACTCCTGGCCTCACCTACCATGTAGGATTGCTGTGAGGATTCGATGGAAGAAGAGCACGTGGCTTACATAAGCTGCCTGGCAGGAAAAAGGCGGGATAGAAACAAACGCCTGCCTGGATTTTAAGATCTTCAGAAGAGGCCCTTCTCTCTGTCCTGCTGCCTTCAGAGCTATATGTGGTGAGACAGGGCCTTCTTAGTGGCCGCTCCCCGGCTAGCTGTCTTTCTGCTGGCAATGAAAGTTGTTTTTCCTCATTGAGTGAAACTGGGCCAGCCCCTTATTCTCAGCCTTGCCTAATTCATCGGGTTGGTATGAGGATAAAATTGAGGAGAGCAAGAGGATTGCATAAGTTGCCTTGAGGTCCTTACAGGGAAGAGGTGGGATATAAATATAATAAATAAATTGGTACTGAGCTAAATGGGCCACTTCTCCCCTTCGTAGGTATCGTTCATTCATTTTCCCCCTTCCTTGTTTATGTACATTCTATCAAATTTCTCTGCTACCTGGGATTATTTTAATTATGATATGTGATTCGTTTGTATTATCTGTACAGCTACATTTATTATATGTTTTATTGTGAGTTTCACCTCAACAAAACAGATATGCATAGAACTGTATACGTTTAAACCTATCAATTGTACGTAAGCTTCAGCAAAGGCAGGCCACCTAACCATATGTGTGTCCACTGGAATTCACTTCCTACAACATTGGAAAGATACACTCAGCTGCTATGGATCAAACAGTTGAGGAGCAGTCGGTGTACAGACCCTACTTCCAAGTCTAGGCTTCATTTTCCATTTAAGCCTTTCCCTATACTCTCTTCCTCCTTTCCCACTTTGGTTTCTTAGCTTTTCTTCTTTGGTCACCACTCCATGACGTTGCCGGAAACGCCCTTCCGGTTTATTTGTGCGTGCTCTTGTGATTTAAATCATTATCTCTTTGACAAAATTGCTGGTCATCTTTATAATATTCTAATAAAAAAGCAGCTGTAGTTGTAAGTTCAAGACCTTCCTCTACACGTCTTGTTCGAGCCCAAGCCATTCCTTGGTGCCCATTTTCAGGAGGCAGCAGCAGCCAAACTTCTGCTGCGGAGCTGTTGCAGATGGCAGGTTTTTGCCTTTTAAACGCTAGATGGCAGGCATGATATAAGCACGGAGGGTTTGACAGGAATGCCTGTTCGTGCCTGTGGATCTTCTTCCCACATGGTGATGCGCACAAAGCTCTCTCGTGTGACTGACGTTTTCCACTGGAGCATATTGGGAATTCTTCTGCTTGAGGAATTTTCGGTTCACATGGGTTTTTTCGGGAAAGGTCTGTGAGCAGAGAGGCTAGGCCTGCAATCCTGGTCACACTTAGGAATACAGAACTGGAGGGAACCACGTTCGTGCTGCCTGGGCCAGGCACGGGCAACCACTCCGAAGAAGCTCTCAGGAGCCGCATTCTGGGTTTAGACAGGACTGAAGGCAATGGAAGGTGAGGCCGGAATCCCAAGAATACCGGCATGGGTTGTTTTTTTTTAGCTTAAAGCGCTTGCAGTCAGTTGCTAAGGTTGATAGAAAGCAGGCAAATACATGCAAAGGCTGGGGAGTAGCTGAACAGACAGTGGCTGACTACAGGGGCAGCTGGGGACCATGGGCTTGGCTGTGCTTGGCTCCTCGGCCTGCACGTCTGCTGTCCTGATTCTGTGTAAATCACACCCTGTGAATGGTGGTCCAGCCTCTGCTTGAGGACAGTGCCTCTGCCTGGGTCAGGGACAGACAAGCTGATGGTCACCAGATAGGTCCAGTGAGAGCCATCCGCCCCACCTGCCTTGACCGTTGGCCAGAGATGGTGGGCACTGGCATCCAGCATGGCTGGGCTCCCGTTCCCTGCCCGAGGCAGTCCGTTTCTTTGTCAGGATTCTCTCTTAGTCGAGGCACTTGTTGGATCTGCCCTCTTGGAACTGCAGCCTGTTAGAGCGCCCCTTTCTCTTGGGGCATCAGAGCATGTCCTTGCCCTCGTCTCTGTGCCATCCCTTCCGCTATCTGAACAGAGCTGCCCTCTTGCTTGTTTTCCCCCTTCCAAGGGAAGTGTTGTGGTAGTGGAGGGGGAAGCTTTATATTCACAGCTGACAGACATTCTGGAGTGAGCAGAAAAGCCGTCCGTGATATCTTAACCAGATGTTTATAATATAAATACACTTCAGGGCTGCCACATACATAATGGAACTGTCTTCCTTCCTTTTCCCCTTGTGACTAATTTTCCTCTTATGCTGTTCCCATTACCTCCAGCAGACAGGAGTGTGGTATTTTTTGCCCATGTAAGGGAGAAACTTGAGAAATCTTTGCGGCTTCCTCTCCGACATCCACGGAGCTGTTCCAAAGAATCTTGTCATATTCCTTAGTTGATTGAATGTTTGAAACCCACTTATACGCATGTGCTTTATGATCACTTTAGCATTTCTTTAATAGTTTATAACATAAAGCTGCTTCAGAAAGGTTTTATTTTGAAAGGCTGGGGGGTCTAAATGCGTGAAGTTAGTATGAAATAGCAGAGCAAAATTAAAACTATTTAGCCAGTCCCAGGGAAAGTGTTCTCACATGGCCACAACTTTGAATCCAACAACGAAAGGCTGTGAAGAAGTTTGTAAGGGGAGCTTCCCTTGGCTGGAAAGCTTCAGAGAGTTTGGTGCAAGTACCGCAAAGGCCCCGCTCTTGCCTGTACCAGTTTTGCCTGCAAAAAAGAGGGGATTAAGTGCAGGGCCTCCCTTGCCAAACGTGAAGGACTGGGGGGCCTCTGCTGGACAAGAGCCTCCCCAGGGAGGAGCAGCCTAGGCTGTTGCAGGCCAGAACTGTTTCAAATGGGACCTGCAGGAGAGGGTGGTAGCACGGACCATTCCCCTTCAGTGCAGCAGCCAGACCCGCTCCTAGGGTGCCCCCTTCTGTCTCCCCATCCCTGTGTTCCCATCCCATCCTCTGTCAGCATCCTGCACTCACTGAGCATAAGCAGTCTTGCCGGCACTGCTTTGGACGTTTCGCCCTCCAGATACACACACAGGAGCTCTTTCTCTCTGGTTTGCTTTTCTGTAACCTTAAAGTTTCCCCGAGGCTCCTAATATGTCCGTTTTGAATGTGCGTGGGGCCACTGTGTCTGTACACCGGGGCAGGAGTTTGCTCTTAGTGTGTATCAGCAACATCAGCCCTGGTGGCCACATCTGGCCCCCTCGGATTCTTCAGGTGGCCATGCCCTTCCCTGCCATGCCGGGCCCCTTTTCCAGTTTTCCACTTGGTGGTTTCCCTGCTTTTGTGTGGTTTTCTCCCATTCTGCACGGTCGGCGTTCCCCTCCCAGGGCTTCTTTACTGGCAGTGAGAGCTATGACTTAAAACATGCTGGTACAGTTGGTATTTTGGGCCCTGCCCTCCAGAACTTCTCTGAAATAGAATCCAACTCAAGGAGTGAAAGCAGTTCAACAGCCCTGATATATAGGATAAGCAGCTTCTTGAAATGGTCCTGGAAGCTCATTCGCAGCAGCGCAGAACAAGAATAAGCGAATTAGCTCTCTGCCCAGAGAGCTTTGGCTGTGAGGTAGTATAGAAATGGAATAAATAATATTTCTGGTATAGGTGAAATGTGCCATTGTTAGTCTGCCTTTCCTTCAAGGCACTCGGGATTAAATACATGGCCCCTTTCCTCTTTGTGGTAGGTTAAGCTGAGAGATCAGCCCAAAATCTGAACAGAGATTTGAACCGGGTTCTTGCCTGCTCCTTCAAGAACTGTAGCATGTGCCTCTCAAGCGGTTGGGGGGTAGGGGGGCAAGGCATTTTGTGACCTGCTTTAGTTCATCTCGCAGATTTCCCTGAGAGCTGCAGCTTCTGAGCCAATTGGGGGGACAGCCCCATAGCTGCCTGACTGCCCCCTGGAA